TTATTTCATTTTTTTTAAAATTATTTTATGAAAATTCAATTATAAAAAAATCTATTTTTATAGAACTCTCTTTTATAATTATTTAAAATGAATAAACTAAACAAGTCCTTAGTTTGTGAATATGCTAAGGATACTTACTGTTTTGACCTTGTGTGGCCAAAACAAGTAACTATGTTGGTATAGGTACGATCACATCTATGTTGAAAAATAAAACAAGAAAGGAGAAGATCAAAACTAATACGGATGATTATGAGAAAAGATGACGGGAAGTGTGAAGTCTCATTGATAATTCTATACACATTAGTCTAATTTTGAATTTAGTATTTTTTTGAGGGTATTTTAGCATTTATAAGAAAATATGATAGAAAGTGTGAAGTCAGATAAATAATATACTAACACACCTTATTAGAATTTTTGCAGAGTATTTTAGTATTTTTACACTTCTTATGTAACCTTAATTCTATAGCACGACAATTGTATATATGGAGTATTATTTATGACCTCTCTCTAATTCTGTGCAGACTGAGTGCTGTTTTTTTATCGCAGTAAAATTTCTACAACCGGTAACCTCGGTTTTGAAAAAAATTCATGTATTGAGTATTTTAGGTTAATTTTCACAACAAAAACCGGTAGAATGATTATAGTAATAATGAGATATTAATATTATTTTAGGTTAAATCATGCCGTCAGAGTCAAAGTAGTTGAAAAAGTTTTTATATATATATATATATATATATATATATTTTTTTTTTTCCTGTTTGAAAAAGTTTATATTGAGTAGAGGGTAATACGTTGAATCAGTATGCCAACATTTCACAATCAATCAAACTAAGCCAATTTAAATTGAAACAATGTGGTGTCATTGAAATAGAGCAAAGTTTTAAATGTGAATGATTGTTGAACGAAGTGAATTATTGAAATACAGAGTATCCAAGTTGAGAAGCTGGTAGATTTTCTTTTCCAGATTCCAAAAGCTCACAGACAACAAAAAAAAAAAAATAAGAAGGAAGGGAAGGAAAGGGTAGGGGGAAAGGAATGGACACAAACACATGAGAGGAAAGTGGAAACCCACTCACTAAAGCAACTTGCCTTTGGCCAAGGATGTTGATTACTTAACCTTCTGGGAACTTTCTAGCATTTGGACACACATGTTGTTTACTCCTATCCATTTTCTCACGATGTTGATGGTTTCCTTCTTTTTCAATCAAAGGTTTTTTAATGACACGAGAATGGAAAAAAAAATATCATAAGAAGATTTTCTTATATTATATTCAGTTTCTCTTATAATATATTTTAATATGCAATTTCATTGTTTACAGTGGTTCACCTAATCTGAATTGCTTTTATTTGAGTCGAGTGCATTCGGTTGTCATAACTTATAAAAGGTAGTTGAGAGATTATTTGTGATGTCCCACGTAGGGAACCTAATATACCTGACTCCGCAGTATTCGTCTCATTTCGTTTTTTTTTAGAACGGTTATGAAATGGTTAAATGGTTTTGAAACGTAGATGGAAATTAGGATTAAAAACCCGAATGAATATAAGGCGAGAATGGGAAAAAGGTCGCTCCACTTGCCCTGTTTTTGATGGTAAATTATAATTTTGTATTTATACTTTGCTTTATATTCAATTATATGAGTTATATATATTAAACAAATTTTAATTTATTCTATTCCAATTACTAAATATCCTTTTGTGTTATTCTTATGTGAGAACTTTCATATATTATTTTTAATATTTTTACGCTAAAGTTTCAATTGAGATTTTTTACCTGTTGAAATTTTATAGCTGAGAAAAAATTGGTATACTTTTGCTATAGCTGAAATTTTATTTCATTATCTACTTTTGCCTCACCCTTTCCTTATTTAATATACCGGGCTGTGACATGGAAGAAAGTAGTTATGCTAAACGGAGATGAAAATGACATTTCTAGCCCCCAAACTGTTTCGATACCGTCCCTAATCCCACATTATCCAGGGGAGAGAGTTATTTGATTTTATGTATAGATATGTAAAAAAAAAAATATATCTACACAATGAAAAGAATGTACAAAAGCTGTTTACATAACCGGGCATGACACTATTCTTTTTGAGACTATTGTTTATTCGTATTTTTATTTGGAAATTATGTATTTTTTTATTTATTTTTGTTTTCTTTGAGAAAATTCTTGTCGGCCATAGCCACGCTTATCCAACAAACGAACGAAATTGAGGTAGGGGTATAAATCAATACCTAAAATTGAAATGAGGTAGGACTATAATAATTGTTGGCCATTATTGGATAAAGTGTCTTTAGAAATGTCAACTAGCAACAAGAAATGCTGCACGAGGGGTTCAACATTTACCTAACAGATCCAATCAATAATAGATTTGATTTAGAGAGATGGAAAACAACACAGCCTACCAGAAAATTGAACAAAATTTAGGCATTTCGATCTTGAGTATTTTTTTTTTTACTTTGTAATTCTTATTATGTGTACGTGAACGAAGTTAAATTTATTCAGAATGATATTAAATTTTGTATTTTTTGAGTGATGATTGAAAAATGTAATTGGATTTTATCATATCCAACAATTTCTTTGTGAAAGCATAAATGGATTTTATGGGACCCAATCTGCCAACTGTCTCATGTTCTAAAGACAGAAGGAAATTAGGGTTGATAGGGGATACTGTAACATTCTATATTTTTCACTATTTGGATGTCACCAAAAAGGATTTAAATTCTGCTGAAAGATTTTTGTAGGCCTTAGCATGTGGCAATTAATGGTTGCAGTGGACTAATTTGAAAAAAAAAAGGGAAAATTACATATACATGGAGTCAAAGTTCCATATTTACTTAGACACTGAGTCAAAGTTCCATATTTCTCTAAAATGGATTGCTGAGGTGGCATATGGTTTTTTACTGTTTAAAAAATTGTGGTGCCTAAAATGCCCTTCCCTAACAAAAAAGTAGTACCTTCAATGCAAAAAAGTAGTACTTTCAGTTCAAAAAAGTAATACCTTCGGAGAAAAAGTTGTACCTTCGCGGGTGTTTAAAAAACAGGGTACCTGGATGCCAAAAAGTAGTACCTTCAGTTCAAAAAAGTAGTACCTTCGAAGAAAAAGTAGTACCTTCGTGGAAGGGTATTTTAGGCACCACAATTTCTAAACAGTAAAAAACCATGTGCCACCTCAGTAAACCATTTTAGAGAAATATGAAACTTTGATTCAGACTCTAAGTAAATATGGAACTTTGACTCCATTTATATGTAATTTTTCCAAAAAAAAATGCATATGCCACTATAATGGCGCATTTCAATTTTCATGGATGATCAAGTCAAATGCATTCTGAATTCGTGTCCATATGAGAGTCGCATAAGAAACTTTTTAGCTATACATATACCTTTTTTTTCTTTTATTTTTTTCCTTTTTTTTTTTTTTATAGTTATTTTATCTTCTATTAAACTAAAGAGGGTAAAGAAAAATGATTAAAAAGAATGAAAGAAATATGTGGGACCTTAACCCACACGGTTTAAGAGGGTTTTAAAGTACAAGGTATAAACTCAGACATCTTGAATTCGATGATTTGAAATCATAAAATTATTTGGATTTAAATAATATGAGACTTACATGAATTCAATCAATTAATGGTCATATATATACATATATAGACACACAGTATTTTTAATTTAGGTAACTTTGGTCTACTTAATGTAACTCCCAATGCAGGGATGAAAAGTATATAATAGTTTTTGACCTTGCTTGCTGCCTATGCTAAGAACATCTTTAGCAGTGTGTTAAAAAGATTATTTTGTGTAAAATATACATAAAGTATAAAACCTTTATGTTAAAGATATATTATTACCTCACTAATGTGTAAAATTATTATGTATTTTGCACAATTCTTTTACACAACCACATCAACATATTTTATCTCTCCTCCCTCTTTCTTATTTCATTAACAAATCAATTGTAAATTAAGTAGGTAAGTTTGTAAAAGTGATGTGTAGTCTTGACATGATAAGTAGTTAGTTGTTAATCTAATTTTTTATTTTATTATTGTTATTATTATTAATTTTTTTGTATAAATCAACTATGACAAATCAGATTTATATATATATATATAGACAACTATTAAGAATGTTCTAAATATTTTATCATTCTAATCCCAAAATAAGGGTTATATCTACCAACTCACATATTTGTTTATTTATTTATTTGTAATCAAATCTTTTTGTATCACAAGACTTTTCCTATACTTGCTCATCTCAACATGTCAGGTACATTTTAAGAATATTTTTTATAAGCATTTGGTTCATCTAACAACACTAATCTACTTTTTTTTAATGTGGTACATGAAGACTCTTTATATTGAATTGATGAAATATAGTCTAGTAGTATCTTATTTTCTTTCAGAGTGAAGTGGAAGGTCAAGTTTTTCAATATATTCCAAATATAGATTTACTTATCTACTCTTGGTCTTAAAATTGATATACATTTAATAGCATATGCAGTCAAAAATAATAAATGTGTTGCAGTAAATTTTTTTAATATACTTAAATTTAATTTTTAACACATTTGTTCTAAATTTTTACACATTTGTTTTACGCTTCTAAGATATGTTTCTTTTCAACATTATTATTTCTAGTTTTGATTTTTAATACATTTAAATTGTGTTTCAACACATTTATTTAGGTCCTATAAAATAAATGTGTTGAAAGTTGAGACATATTTAAAAATTAAAAACATTAATCACCCACGACTACTACAGAGAATTTGAACACATCTAAAATTGTGTATTCAATTTAACTATAATTATTCTAGAAATTAGAAATTCATTTGATTAAAGGGCGAAATCTCACAAAAATGGTCTCTCCAATCAAATTATCAGAATTGCTAGTGATGGGTGAGTCATAGTCCCTTAGATTGCTTTTCTCATGCCAAGAAATGATAAGACCATAGAAGCAACGCGTTTTCCCAATCTTTATTATGATTATAATCTGTAATGAAGACTCAACCCAGTTGCCGAGTTCACTGAGTTCCAACTCTTTGATTAGTGATGACGACTTGTTCCTTTCACTAGTCAGTGTTATAGAATATCAGTTAGTGCCTGTACATTTTTCAGACCCACTTCTCCAATTCAAGCCAAGTGGTGAAGATAACCTCCTCAAATATTCTATACAGAAACTCTACCAAAAACAAAGAGAAAAGTGGAAGAGAACCCAAAACCCCTCATTATTATACATATACACAAGACAAAATCCTTCTCTTTCTCTCTCTTTCTTTCTCTCTCTAAAGTTTCCGTCTTTTATTTACCCAGAACCAAACGCGCACACACCAAATACTATATTCTAGAGTACTATTTTATTTGTATTTTCTTGTGGTGTTTCGTGTTTGTTCTTCAGATGTTTGGTGAATTGCTCTGTACACTCCCCATAAAATAAAACACACACACTCGTGTCTTTTTCTTGATTTTTTGTTGTTTTCTGGATTGTTTCAACTGGGGATGGTGTTAACCCATCCGGGTCATCTCTAAACTTCTTGCAATTGATGCAAAAATGGAACTTTTTTCATGGTTCTGAGACATACAGTCTGTGATGGATCTTGAACGATGGAACATTGACAATCCAATCAAGGTGAGACATGTGGCACTGATATTGTAGAACCCATCTTCATATCACACCCCTCTCTTCTGATAATCATAAGCTCTTGTTGTTGAATTTTGGTTGTTGCAGAAGGAGTCATGGAGGACAGTCTTTACTTTGGCTTATCAGAGCTTGGGAGTTGTATATGGGGATTTAAGCACTTCGCCTCTGTATGTGTACAAAAGCACTTTTGCAGAGGACATTCAACACTCAGAGTCTAATGAGGAGATATATGGGGTTTTGTCTTTTGTTTTCTGGACATTAACCCTCATTCCACTCCTGAAATATGTGTTCATAGTGCTTAGAGCTGATGATAATGGTGAAGGTGGGACATTTGCTTTGTATTCATTGCTGTGCCGCCACGCCCGAGTCAATACTTTGCCCAACTGCCAGCTTGCCGATGAGGAGCTATCAGAGTATAGGAAAGATGGAATTGCGAACACTAATAAGGGTTTCGGGCCGAGCTTGAAATCGACATTGGAGAAGCACAGAGTATTGCAGAGGTTATTGCTTGTTTTGGCTTTGATTGGGACTTGTATGGTCATTGGGGATGGAGTTCTTACACCAGCAATTTCAGGTATAGGAGGTTGTGCTATTATCAATTTTGATGTATAGTTGCATATTTGGGACGTTATTGGACTAAGAATTGCTTGTTTTTGGTTTTGTGCAGTTTTTTCTGCAGTTTCCGGGTTGGAGCTTTCCATGTCGAAAGAACACCACCAATGTATGACACTTGCCTATTCACCAATTTTGTTGACTGTTCTATTTTAGTAATCAATTTTATTATTAATTTGAAGATGATGATTATTCATAATACTTAATTGATATTTCAAATCCCATAATATTACCGGTAAGTATGAGAAGCCAGATATGTGATTTAGACATGGTTCTTATTACGCTCTGGGAGCTTAGTTTCACCAGTTGTTATAGTTGATTTCTCTTGTTTGAGTTTTTTTATTTCATGATTTCTTTGGGAATTCCGCTTTCTGTATGCTTTAAAGTGATGCAAATCATGTTGGCATTGGAATCTTGATTTTTACTGTTAAATATTCAGATTGAACTTTATTTGGAAAAGTATGTTTCTGTAGACGTGCAGTTTCTGGAAAAGGAGAGAATACCAAATTGTGATAAACATGCATTATTGTGGGTCCCTTCGAATACAATTAAGACAAATCTCCTGCTTTAATCCAAGTCAAATCACCTTTAAATAAATAAAATAAAGTTAAGTCTCCATAAAATAAAGTTAAGTCTCCATAGTGTGGTAGGCCAAAGTTGATAATATCCAACTTATAAGTAAGATAAAGATACAACATGAAATTAAAGAAGAAGTTAAAATTCATAAATGGGAAGACTAAGTGGTTGAGGATGTACCTTTGTAAAGTTATTCATAATAAAATCAAGAAAAGCTAGTTTAGTTTGGATAAGGCACTGTGGATAATAAAATATATACAAGATACTTTAGTGCAATCAATATGTTTATCTAATTAAATGTCTAAGTGGCAGTGATAAGTGATAACCCATAGCACAATTAGACTGGTCAAATTATGTTAAAATGATAATTGGAGTCCCTCTTGAGGAAAAAATAATCATGAATTGATGAATAAGTTGATGAATGGACTAACAGGCAATGGCAAAACTTTGACACAGTTGTTATTGTTCAAAGCATTATTGTGGTCGAAAACTAAAACAAAAATTATCATCATCTTGATGGATTTGTACCACCACTGCTGTGGTAAAATCATCTCCTTTATAGTCACAATTCGCTACGGACAATTCTTGATAGTTGATAATAATGTAGCCATTTTCCAAATGTGCACCAGTTCTTCCATTTCTTATCAGAGTTGGATCATCTGTATAATTTTGTATAGAAATTATTATTATTATTTTTTTAAAGTATAGAATCTATCTATCATCACCTTGCTTTCACAATTGCCATTCTCATTTTACCTGTATGCTCTCTCATCTACAGTCTCTATCATGGTCCTTTACTATTTGTGGGCAGTGTGGTTTCATCATGGTTTAACAAAAAATGCCTAGTGCGTTAGACATCAATTTAACTTTGCAACCTCAACTTGGGGCAAACACACATAATTTTGGAGTGTAGACATTACCATTTATCTCTTTGTGGTGCATGCGCGTTATTGTAATATAGGTCTGGTAAGACAATTTTGCTGTTCCTATTTATATGTGCCAGCGATAAGTATATATTAGATTCTAATACTTACATTTGTATGTGTAGCCTTGATAAATCATTAGAAATTAAGCTCTGTGTTACTTTATCTTCTGTCCAGTTTTATTTTAATCTTGAAGCCTCCAATCTAACAACAGGCTAAAATCTACATTGTCCGGTCGCTCAGATTTTGAGACTGTATTATTCCTCTTGGCACTGCAATCAGTTTTGCTTTTAGTGGATAAAATCCAAAACTGGATGGATATTTGTTCTCACTCTAATCAGTAGTTGAGAGTGGATCTTCCTCCAATTGATGGAATAAAATTTGTGGGAGCACAGATCCTTGAACAAATGTGGAACTGAGAGGAGTGAAGCCCATGTGTCTATGAGAGTGATATTTGTATTACCCAATAAGAAAGATATGCAATTACGAAAGGAAGACAAAATAGTTTTATTTTTGCCTTTTCTTCCTTCAATTAATCCCTTCTTACAGAATTAAAGCTTCACCTACATTGTGGAAAAGGCCAATTGAAAAGGTATCACATCTGTAAAACTTTACTTCCACCTCTATACATTCAAATTTCTGAGGACACGTGACCAGTCGTATTGTGGGAACAATGAAGAAGTTATGTGGAGCACACATGGGAAACTGAGGGTTTATAGGCCATATGTCTGTGACAACAAAACTTGGATGCAGGAGAAATGGCAAACAACGGAGTGGTAGGAAAAACACATTTAGAAAAGGTTCCTCAATATCACCTCTACTAAGGTAGGAGAAATCCTTGACAAATGTGCATAACTTCAACAAATAATAAATGCATATATCTTTAATGTTGTAGTGAATAGTGATTTAGTCAATATGACAGAGAGGAGCAAAATTGTACAAGTTTGCTGATGAAACAGAATATAGCATCAACAATTCAACATATAAGATTTCAGGAGTACTCAAGGTTTTTTCTTTGCCTAGCATAAATAACAAATACTTGGCCCCAGTTCAGTGCAATTCAAATCTCAATACGTACTATTTCAGAACATTCTAAACTGTTACTAGATAATTATGAGCACAAGGACGGTAAAACCAATAGTCACCGAATCACCTTCAAAAATGTTGTATTAGAATTCTCAAAACGTTATCTAGTCACTTTTTGCATCTCTTTTGGAACTGCAGAAGGTATTATTTTCCCTGAAAACTGATGCGTTTTCAATTTTAAGCATTCTGATAGTAATTCCGGATCATTTTACTAAAAAGTATGTGATTATGAGCCTGATATCTTTTTTACTTATTGGTCATTAATTCTGCAGATGTAGAAGTCCCAGTTGCTTGTATCATACTGGTATTTCTGTTTTCCCTCCAGCACTATGGGACCCACCGGGTAGGATTCCTGTTTGCACCTGTTGTAATAACATGGCTTTTATGCATCAGTGCCATTGGTGTGTACAACATCTTTCACTGGAATCCCCATGTTTACCAAGCGCTCTCTCCTTACTACATGTACAAATTTTTGAAGAAGACCCAAAGGGGAGGTTGGATGTCCTTGGGTGGGATTTTGTTGTGTATAACAGGTACGGAAGTGAAGAGTTTTCTCTTGTTGATTTGAATTTCCCAAATAGGCACATTATTGCTAATGCTTCCTCTTCTTCAGGTTCAGAAGCCATGTTTGCTGATCTTGGACACTTCTCACAGCTGTCTATCCAGGTAACTAAACTTGGTGATGTTATCAATTAATTACAGGTTTTTTAGTTACTGCAACTTTATGTTTGTGAAACGGGATTTACAAATTTGATATGAATTTGGGGACTAGTGTTCATCTTCCTCATTTTTTGGAGTGCATAAGATCCCCTCATTTGTTAAGATATTGATGTCCTCTACTTCTTAAACCTTACATCTTATATTAGGTGTTTTTCAAAAAATTATATATTTTACCATTTTTTACTCTCCGGATGTCTAGGCTTTATATTGCAACATATATGAAAATGCAAATACTAAATGCAACACCATGATGTTGTATGAAGCACCTACTATCACATAGAGTGGCTGGACAAAGTAAATTCAGACCTTATTCCATATTTTTTTTGGCTGCACAGAAAAGGGCTGCTGTTATGTGATTTAGGAACTCCAGTTGTTTTCTCTCTATCTCTGATAAAGAAGAATCATATTTCATTTACTTCATTTCCCTAAAATTTTGATGCTTAGCACTGAAGAAATGCATAACTAAACACATAAATCCCAATCATAAAGACTTATTCGATTTCTTTCTTCATGAGTAATCTAGTCACGGTAATTGCACAAGTGTATTGATTCCATGGACGAGATAGAAATAATGGTCATATTAACTTCCTCAATAGTCATGATATTGTGCAGAAACATTTTTCCTCATTTGAAATTGGTAAAGACTGGGTCACCTTTGGTTAATGTCAAAAATCAAATTTCTTTAAAATTACCTGCAAACTTCTGAATTAATTACTATTTTTTAGGTAACTTCAACTTCCCGATTCCCTGTACCCAGGTGAGGAAATTAGTAAATTATTTTAGTTTTCATTGCATCTGCAATCGTAGATATAAATGCACTCTGCCTTTTTTCCCCTGAGCCACATGGTATTACCTTCAGACTGGCTTTGATACCACTGTCACAGTGTTGGTTCCATACCTGATACTTCTTAAATGGGTGCGAGCCTACGAGGAACCCAACAAGTGACTAGTTCTTTTGGTTTTGGAACCGTCCCTGTGACTGGTTGCTGTTTAGAGATGTCTACACATTATTCAGGGTCAAAATATTTCTTATTTGGCTGATGACTAATCAATGTGAGAATGTCCTCATAAATATCAAGTTGAGTATTACTTTTTATGTTGATAAACAATTCACAGCATATTATTTATTTAAGAAATGTGCCTTGCTAGAAACTCAAACAATGAAAGCAACTTTTCTAACAGAGAACCACTTCATAGCAGATTGCTTTCACTTTTTTCGTTTACCCGTCCTTGATCCTTGCGTATATGGGACAAGCTGCTTATCTTTCTAAGCATCATACTCTTGAAACTGACTACCGGATTGGATTCTATGTATCTGTACCAGGTAGGTACTATTCCTTTTCTTTTTCCCTTATTTTTGAGGTATGCCTCACAGATGCACTGTTTTATGCTTTATAGATGACAACTCATACAAGAATGTATAACTTGAAGTTCTTTTTATTGTCTCAGAGAAGATACGATGGCCTGTTCTGGCAATAGCCATACTTGCGGCAGTTGTTGGAAGCCAAGCTATCATCACAGGTTCTTTCTCCATCATCAAACAGTGCTCTGCTCTTGGTTGCTTCCCAAGGGTTAAAATAGTCCACACATCATCCAAAATGCATGGCCAGATTTACATTCCAGAGATCAACTGGACTTTATTGCTGCTATGCTTGGCTGTCACTGTTGGTTTTAGAGACACAAAGCACATAAGCAATGCATCAGGTACTCCCTAACAAATTATTTTTCTTATGCGGTCATTACTCAATTACTTTTTTAGCTCATCTTTTTTGTTCTTCTGTTGGGGTTATTTGGTCGGAAGCTGTCACTAACCTTAGAATGAGGGACGTCATACTGATTTGATATCTGCAGTCTATGTCAAGCCATTATAAAGGGGATATTTAATCAACATATCAACATAAAATTAATAATTCCCTTTTTCTCTTGATAAACATTTCAACACTAAAGTCATAATTGTTTTGTTGGGACAATAATTATTCAAGATTTCTAGGAACTATCAATTTTAATCAAGAAATTTCTTTACATCTTCTTTCTTTATGGAACAGGTTTGGCAGTTATAACTGTTATGCTGGTAACCACCTGCCTAATGTCTCTTGTTATCGTCCTGTGCTGGCACAAAAGTATCTTCCTAGCCATTTCCTTTATATTCTTCTTCGGTTCCATTGAAGCGCTCTACTTCTCAGCTTCACTCATCAAGTTCCTTGACGGTGCTTGGGTCCCGATAGCCCTTTCATTCATCTTTCTAATAATCATGTATGTTTGGCACTATGGCACACTCAAGAAATACGAGTTCGATGTTCAAAACAAGGTTTCCATTAATTGGCTCCTCAGTCTGGGTCCTAACCTAGGAATTGTGCGGGTCCCGGGCATTGGTATAATACAAACTGAGCTTGTATCTGGAATTCCAGCTATTTTCTCCCACTTTGTGACCAATCTCCCAGCTTTCCACCAAGTCTTAGTTTTCCTCTGCATCAAATCTGTCCCAGTGCCTCATGTAAGACCTGAGGAAAGGTTCTTAATAGGAAGAATTGGCCCAAAAGAGTATCGGCTCTACCGCTGTATAGCACGATATGGCTATCGTGATATTCACAAGGATGACGAGGAGTTTGAAAAAGATCTTGTTTGTAGCATTGCAGAATTTATCCGGTCAGAGAGGCCAGAATTTGATGTATTAATAGAAGATTTGGAGGGAGATGGAAGAATGACCGTTGTTGGATCTTCTGCAACGAAATTAGAAGGTGCAAGGATGTGTGAAGACAATGCTGGTTTTTCTGGAGAGGCTAGCACTTCAGAGTTAAGGGAGATTAGTTCGCCTGACCTGACGAGGAAGAGAGTGAGGTTCCTTTTGCCCGAGAGCCCTACGATTGATATAAGTGCACGAGAGGAGCTGCAGGAATTGATGGAAGCAAGGGAAGCCGGGATGGCATTCATACTGGGCCACTGTTATGTGAGGGCAAAGAGGGGTTCAAGTTTGGTGAAGAGAATAGTCATCAATTTAGGGTATGATTTCTTGAGGAGAAACTCTCGAGGTCCAAGGTATGCATTGAGCATTCCTCATGCATCAACTCTAGAGGTGGGGATGATCTACCATGTTTAAATATGATTCACACACTATGTTATGTATTTAATAATTTTCTGTGTGATACAATGTAAATGATAGATCAAAGCTTTTGTAGAATGCCAATCAACAATGTAGTTACTGAGCTCTCAAGTATGCCAAAATGCATAGTAGTTATGCCTCAATCAGCTCCTTGAAACTACTAGTTCTATTACACTATCCACTGTTCTAAGCCTATACAAAACTGGTATCGGTATAATGCTTGTTTTTCTGAGGAGTTTACTGGCTTGGATAGAATTATGTACTAATGATCGGTTTGACAACGATTATTATTCGATGTTTAATTCACACCTTAGCTGTATGAGTTCTGTAAAATTTTATGCAATCGAACGACGTATTGAATATTACTAATATCTGAGTTTGACAGAGGTGTTGAACCAGCAGGGGAGGTTCAACTTCTTATGCATTTTAGCATTATGCAACCAAATAGACTGGAATGAGACTATGGGACTTGTTTGTGCAGAAAAATAGGTGACTTAAATGCAGACACCCTATCATGAGAGGCATTGAGAGTGTTTGGGGTTGTAGTGCATATACTGTCTAGAGTAGATGTACCCAAAATATTAGCCCTATATGGGTTCGAACACTCAACCTCCCCTTAAGGGAGAGAGTGAGAATTTATACCATATGAGCTACTGCCCGTTGGTAGATGAGTCGCCAAGAATGTTATAGAATCAAAAATTTAAATATGCAACTGAAGCATACGAAAAACACAATTGTATATTTGTGTATAGGTGTATATGTATATATGTGTGTTAAATGAGTATACATATAACTGTGTGTATATGTGTGTGTATGTATCAATATCATCACTCATAATTTACGACAAGTAATGATTAAATAAAGTGGTGTACATCTTTTCTTTCTTATACGTAGTATTTCTTAGCGAGTGGTGCACCATTCTATTTCTTTTTTTAATTGTTGAAACATAATACCCCAAATTTAACGTTCTAAGTAAAAAATGAATTCAACAGCTTGGAAAAAGTTGCTGAGTATCATATGCTAATTTCACAAACAATTTCACTTTCTTTTCTCAATTCAGTTTGGAATTTATTTTTACCAAGTTGTAAACGTTACCGACTGTTCTATACCATAAGAAAAGTTAATCAACTTAAAAGCATCTTTCAATTTTGCTTTCTTTTAAAGAATGCTAACAATGGAAGTTGATGAAATGTCATTATTATACTAAATCAAATTAACTTTTACATTTAAAGTACTTGATAGTATTATTATAATTGTTTTTTAATTTTTTTTTCGATGCAAAGAGCTTCTTAGAATATCCCATAATTTAGTACCGAGTACATACAAATTATACAATCCCTTCTTCTCTTGTGTAATCGGCAATTGTCGGGAAAAATTCGCTTAAGGTGGTTTAAAAGAAATTCAAACTCATAACCGTCAAGTATCTTATTATTAACAATATAAAAAATTTGCTAATACAAAGTTGTTAAACCAAATCAATATTTTTTCTCTTCATTGGATTTGTCACTGTCCTAGTCTGTCTTCTGGTACCATGCATCTTCTATGAAGAAGAGAGTAGAGAATACTATCCTACTACTAAACGTGTACGTGTCCTTCTATAATAACAGTTAGGATGGAGATGTGGAGGTCATAGTCGTCCAAATCGTGGGGAGAGTATTGGAAGATTCTAAAAATAAATAAAAATAGTCTAAAATTCTTAATATTTTAAAAGAATATTGAGAGAGTAAATCTATCCTTCCATTGGAAGGAGATCTCTATAAATAGGGTTGGAATTGATTTGTAAGTCAAGAACTTTAAATTGAGTTTGGGAGAAGAATGTCTATCCATAATAAAAAATTTGAAAGATAATTTAAAGTACACAATTTCAAGGAGATGTCTACAAATGGAGTAGGTAGGCACCTTCGGTGTAATTCAGTTACATTTATATAAAATATATTATTTATTAAATGTATTAATTATTTATGCAATGAAATACACACGGCTAAATAATTTTCGTCTAAAATAAATTGACTGCTAATCATGTCAAAAATAAATAAATTATATGATAGATAAAATTTTCAAATATAAAAGTGAGGAAATGATGCATAAATGATCTCTTGAAAAACACTAATTAAAAAAATAAATAAAATTGTAGCTGATTCTACCATTAGTTTCACAAATACTTCTCAACAATTAAGGAGCCGCCTAAGGCTCCCAATAAAAGAAGAGTTTCATACAAAGATACAACAGCTCTTTTATATGTCGATACAAGTTTCTTTTATTTTTAACTTATCATTACTTAATTCTTTTTCTCTCAACAATTTCATACCTTTTAAACTTTTTTTAAAATTTTAAATTCTCTTGCATTTGAATGCTTATTCAAAATTATATTTCTTTTGTACTTTGTAATTTATTGACTCTCTTAAGCTAATTTCTACAATTATATTACTATGTTATGTATTTAATGAATTTCTGTATGACACATTGTAAATGATATATCAAAGCTTTTGTCGAATGCCACTCAACAATGTAGTTACTGAGCTCTTAAGTATGCCAAAATGCATATTAGTTATGCTTAAATCATCTCCTTAAAAAAAGTCCAAAAGGTCTGATATGAGGCCCAAAATTGTGGATTGTGGAGAGTCGAACAATGTTTGGGCCAGTGTTGTAGCTTCAAATTTCATTAATAAGACAGACTACAAACCATTTCACTTTATTTTTGGACCGGTTACTTGGACGTATCTATTCTAAACTAGTGCATTAAGTTAGTCTTTTTTTTTTTTTTCAAAAATTTATCTTTAATTGTTGGAGTTAATACTGCAAATTTAACGTTTTAAATAGAATGAATTGAAGAGCTTGCGAAAAGTTGCTGAGTATCATATGCTAATTTCACAAACAATTTCACTTTATTTTCTTAATCCGGATTATAATTTTTGGGATTTATTTTTACCTAGTTGTAAACCATTACCGACTGTTTTCCACCAAAAGAAAAGTTAATTAACTTAGAAGCATCTTTCAACTTTGCTTTCTTTTAAAGATAGCTTACAATTGAAGTTAATGAAACGTCATTACTTAATATTATTTCAGGACTAGTCTCAAAATACCATATCAAATTAATCTTTAAATACCGAGTATATTATGTTATTATTATTTTTCTATTTTGTCGATTGTGGTAGTGTCTAGTCTTTTAGACTATCACATAATCTACCACTCAGTATAAACAATTCTTATATTTTATATGTACCGAACAATTGTAAAAAAAAAATACACTAAAAATAATAAAGATTCAAACTCCCGAACACCAATATTATTAATTAAAGAAAACCAATAGCCTTTCGCACTTTACCGGTGTCCACTGGAACTCAACTAAACGTGTGAGTGAGTCCATAGTAATGAGATTCGTTAATATTGTTTTCTGAATCCAAAGCATGAAAAGAGAGATTGAAGGCATCAACAGTGAGTGACTAAACAGGACATAAAAAAGGAACGTGTAGCGTTTGATTGAATTTTGACATTAAAGATTTTGTGTCATCATATAGGGTCCTAACTCCTCATGCACAGACGAGACGTAATGATTATATCAAATTAAAGCACAACTTAATTTATTCCCATTTATGAGGTCAAACCAGATTATATCAAAATTAATGGTGTTAAAGCCTCCATTACAACACACTACGTTGAATTAAACATACTTACTTCAAGTTTCGAAATAATTGTATTTAACCTCAGTTTAATGTGCTTTTCACATAGTCAGTTATAAACTTATCGGACCATAATAATAATAATAATAAAAGGAAAAAAAAAAAAATATATGAAGAAGAGAGAGAGAGAACTTTCATTCTGTTTGGCACATAAAATCTGTATTTAGAGATGATAATATGATGAGGCCATAGACAAAAAATGCACCAAACGAACTATTTAAAAAATAAATTAACTACTATACATATATATATATATATATATATATATATATATATATATATACAGTGAAATATTATATTGCTATAAAGTAGATTTGTCTTGTGTTAGAATAATGATTGCAATGAGGATATATATCAGATGCATTCACACTTTAAGTGATATGCTGCGAAGTAAATGTGTTTTTGTATATACGTGCTTATAAATAAAAATAAATTTTCACTATTTTAGATATTTTTTTTATACACTTTGTCAATATTTCTTAGACACTTAAGCTCACACTTTTAAAACACAAGTTTATCCGATAATCTTAAAAATAATATAAATACATTTTAAAGTGTTCAACTTTTTTCTTTAATAAAAATTGACATTATACACATATGATCCTAAACTAAGTATTAAATAATATTTATTCATTTAAAATAAAAACACTATTATGATAAAGTAGTGCAATATCAATATATATGATATAAAAGTCATTACAACTCTTAATATAAAATTAGAAATGAATTAAAGTTTTGTAATATTATTACTCAATACATGTATATAAATAAAATTTTATATTTATATATAGCCAAGTTTTAGTCATATTCGTGTCATATTTTTTTAAAATTTGACATCTTGAAATATTCGTGTTATATCATATTTGTATTTTATATTTCGTATTCGTATTCATGCTGCATAGGTGATATGAGCATAATTATTTTAAACTAAAGCGTTAGCCAAAGTGAAAATATTTCTATGTTTGTTCTTTCATCCTACGTGGCTTACTATAAGAAAATAATTATCTTCGGTACGCTTTAGTTGGAGAATGTAACACACTTACATAACACTTGTACAACACATTAATTTCAACCGTATTACTCGTAATTCATGTGATATTATTACATCCATATACAACATAATTAAATCGAGAAACTACAACATATTTACGAAATTGAATGCTTAATTTAATGGTATTGCATTCTATTTTAATTATACTAACAAATCACATTTCACAAAAACTACTCACAGAGTGATGACTGCTAAAGTGCTGATGCACATATATTCATCATACCTTGGAAGCATTATTTCATTATTATCAAAGCAAGCAATAATGTGTATATTACTAAAAAAAATTCTACAAATGTATGTAATACTTAATTAATAAATCGACTCTATTATAAATATAAAAAAAAATAGTACATAATTTTTTATTTAATGGCTCATTATTCAATAACACAGGTAGAGTGTTCTACCTCTCTGAACTGTATTCCTGTGTTCGAGTTCTTCGTAATAAAATATATTATACGTTGCCATTGTCACTAACATTTTTCTTTTAACTATATTTTTAATTTTTTTAAAAAATTAAATTTACTTGATACATTAATTACATTTATACTTTGCGAATGTAATTGCTTAAATATATTGAATGTTGTGGACTTTGTGACTCAGCTAAGGATAATATTGTTGCTAACATTTTTCTTTTAACTTTATTTTATATATATTTTTTAAATTACCTAGATACCTTTATTATTACTGGCCCCCTCTCTCTTTTTGCCTTTTACTCTCTTACCTCGAACAGAGCTCCCCTTCTCTTTTCCTTATAAAACTTCCATAATCTATCATAACTTCCTCTTCTCTCTCCAACTCTCTCTCTCTCCTCATGCTCTTATGCACTTGGAAGAAAGCTGTGCTTATTAGAAACATGTAAAAGGAGAAAAGACACATTGTTGGTGGGGTTATCTCTCTCCCTGTCTCTCCATAAATACAGAGCTCAGACCCTCCTTATACAAACATTTTGTTCTTTGATTTTCTATCTGTACAACAACAATGAAGATGAATTGGGTCATTTCACTTCTTATATTTCTGGTTTTATTTGGTGGGTTCTCATCAGTTTCAGCCACTCCACCTGCAAGTGAGTTAACACATATACCTCTGTTTTCATACTATGTTTGTGATAATATATATATATATATATATATATATATATATATATATATATATATATATATATATATATATTTATATTTATATTTTCATCACAACACCATTTCTCGTTTTTAATTGCAGAAATTGTTAGTGGGGTCGTTTCAAATCTTGTGTCGGTGGTTTTTAAATGGATGTGGTCATTAAAACCCAACACAAAAACAGGTATGGATCTCTCACTGACCTCACATTTCAAGGATTCCCCTGTTTTTTTGTTTGTTTGTTTGTTTCTGTGTCACTTATATGTTGTTGTCTAAAATATTGAGATTGATGGGTGTTGAATAGGCTTTGGTTATTCGGCAGTTTCTAGTCGTTCAATGATGAAATTTGAAGGTGGTTACACTGTTGAGACTGTGTTTGATGGAAGCAAACTTGGGATTGAACCTTATGCAATTGAGGTGTCCCAAAGTGATGAACTTCTGGTTTTGGATTCTGAAAACAGTAATCTTTACAAGATCTCTACTCCGTTGTCGCGGTGTAAGTTAATTTCTGTGTAATTGTTTTAAATTCTCAATTGTTATATATATATATATATATATATATATATATATATATATATATATGTATGTATGTATTGTTTTGATGGGTAAGCAGGTGAGATTTTTTTTACTCGGAACAATGGGGCAACCCTACACATACAAATTGTTTGAAGTTATTGTGAATTTCTACATACATTTTCCTAGAAAGCTGTGATATTTGGTTTGTTTATGTTAAATGTGTTCAAGCATCTGATTCAAGTACCATTGTCATAACATTTGTTGTTTGGACTGGCTTTTTACATAGCCCCAATCTTGGGCTGAATTCTTTAGATTATTTATGTTCTTCGTAAGCTCTTTGCGAATTCGGATTTCGTTTTGATATACAATTTAAAATGGGGTTTTTGTTCGCTTTTGTTTATAAGAAGACTCCACTTTTCCAAAGTACAATAGGCCTTTTCATTGAGTTGTGTTGGAATCAATTCTATCATTTTGGAAATTTGTGAGCTTGCACTTTTCTTTTTGGGACCAAGTTTCTCCAATGACTGTCCAAACTTCTTTATTCTATTTAGATTCACTTTACTCCCTTATTATTTCTCATACATTCTTCATAGTCCAAGGACTTTGCATCTTCTGCAGAAAAAATTCATTTCCATATATGTATTGTACTTGTGAATTTAGGCAAGCATCTCAACAGGCCCAATGACTTTTCGATTTAATCGATGACAATACTATTGTGGATTCTCTAAACATAACATCTACAAGATCCCAACCCCTTTATTTCAGTTAATTTTGCTCAAAACTGGTGCGTTCATATTCCTTTTTATGCCCTCAAAGGAGGACTTGAATTATTTATGAAGATATTATTCCTTTATTACAAAATTTGTTGTTTGGGTTAGCCTTTTAATAGAACATTAGAACTTATGCCAAATATATGGAATCTTCTTTTGTATATGATTTTTTATGCCTAAGATCTATCAATCAAACATTATAATGAACTTTGGCAATTTGTGTGTAACTTTTGTTTAGATGAAGCCTCCACTTTTTTTAAGTAAGTCGGCTGTCTAGTTTATTTTCTGCAAAAACTAATACCGGCTTTCTAAAGATTTTCACTTTCACTTTTTCTTTCTGAGACCAAGTCTCTCAAGCTAACTCCTGAACTTCTTTATTTGTCTTCATATTCATTTCGTAAGCCTTTTCTTATCCTATGTCGAAGTCTTTTGTGTCTACATTAAACATTAAATTTATGTTTCTAAAAAATGATGCACTAGCTTGTACAAGTAGTTTAAGCCCCCCTTGATTTGATAAGTTGTAACACTATTCCACTTTCTTGGTCTCAAATTTATGGCTCCATTAGAATATCATGGTAGAACAAATTACATGCCGAACAAGCGAGACTGTTTATATCATGCTTTGAACCCTTTTTGTACAGTTCCTTTCTTGCTGCCTCTCCCAGAGTGTTCACATAATAAAATGAATGGTTGAGATGCAGATAGTCGGCCCAAGCTGATTGGTGGATCACCTGAAGGGTACTCTGGGCATGTGGATGGGAGGTCAAGAGAAGCACGGATGAACCACCCGAAAGGGCTTACTGTAGATGACAGGGGAAACATCTATGTCGCGGACACCTTGAACATGGCAATCAGGAAGATCAGTGATGCAGGTAACTTGGTCCATTGGATTCTTGAACGTTTACTTCGGACTCCCATGTCTCTCTTTTAAGTAAATAACATATATGATTAACCATGGCAGTGTCTATTTTAGAGTAAGAGCATAGAGGTAAACTATAGACTTTGATTTGAACTCATCATTTTATCTCAATGTAGGGGTTGTCACAATAGCTGGAGGGAAATGGGGCCAAGGAGGAGGTCATGTGGATGGTCCAAGTGAAGAAGCAAAGTTCTCGAACGATTTTGATGTGGTTTATATCAGAAGTAGCTGCTCTCTTTTGGTTGTAGACAGAGGAAACCAGGCAATTCGAGAGATTCAACTCCATGAAGACGATTGTGCCAACCATTACGATGGTAATTTCCATTTAGGTAAATTCCAACTTTCAAGATTTTATTGTTTGTTACCCTACTTTCACGGTGAAGAACATGAATAATTCATAAGAGAGATTTTCCATAATCAGGGATAGCAATGCTTGTTGCGGCTGCATTCTTTGGTTACATGATGGCCTTGCTGCAACGTAGAATCGGAGCCATGTTTTCATCCCGTAGTGTAAGTGATCCATGCCTTGGCTTATGTGTCTTGATTTTTACACTTAAGAATCAGATATCCTCTAGACTCCAAAAGTATATTGATGAGCTTCCTACGTGAATATCATTGTGAAAAAAAAAAATCTTTAAATTCTCAAAAATCTCCGAACTTATACTTGACTTGCACTAAAATGTTTCATATGGAGGAAACAAGATAGTCTTGAAATCTTTAATTATTTGTGCTTCAAATGGTTTTCCTAAGATTTCATGAATATACTGAATTTCGCAAATAAATCCTTGTATAGTTTCTGAAATGCTCCATTGAGCATATTATGGTGGCATATTATGTATTTATTAATTTTTCGTCCCTAAGATGTATTGCATTCAATTTCTTAAATCTCTATATCTGACTCGAGTACTTTATTCATGAAAATTTTCTATTGATTCCCAATCCCACTTCTGAACAATTATTTGCAATGAATAATTCTGAACCACAATTTTTTTTTTTTTTTTTTGCATTGTTGAATTGCGAATTAGAAAATGCATTTCAAACAAGTTTTAAAGATCTCAAGACACACTTCCACTAAAGATTTTTCTTTCTATTTGTAGGATCCTAGAACTTCAATGAAGAAAGGCATACCACCACCACCATATCAAAGGCCTCCGAACTCTGTCAGGCCCCCCATAATTCCACCCGAAGATGAATATGAAAACACAGAAGAGGGCTTATTTAGTTCATTGGGGAGACTTTTTCTCAACACCGGCTCAACTGTGTTTGATATCTTTGGGGGATTGTTTTCCAGAAAAAAACCGGTCCACCAACAAATCCAACAGCAATATTACCAGCATCCCACAAAACAATCAAACACTTGGCCTATGCAAGAGAGCTTTGTGATCCCAAATGAAGATCAACCCCCACCACTTGAAACCAGAACCCCTACAACAAGAAAAACCTACCCTTTTATGACCAAGGACCCCGAGAAGACTCGTCCCTTCAAGCAAAGCCGGACTTTTCATAGCGGTTGGAATGGCGATTTCAACCACCAGCAACAGCAGCAGCAGCAGCAGCACTTTCAGCAACAGCAGCAGCAACACCACCAACAGCATCATCAGAGGCATTACTCATCTGGCCCTCAGACTTGTTACGAGCAGAGCTGCGAAACGAATGAGATTGTGTTTGGAGCAGTTCAAGAACAGGATGGGCGCCGCGAAGCAGTGGTGATTAAGGCTGTTGATTATGGTGATCCTATTTATAATAATCATAATATTCGATCCCGATATAATTACATGGGTTACTCTTATGGCTATTGATCATCTGTGCACCTTCATATCATCAAATTATAGAGAAGAATGTATATGAGATATGAAGATTAGAATGTGGAAGATCAACGTAGAAGCAGAGCAATGATGTTCTTCATTTTTTTTTTTTTTTTTTTCTAGGAGTCATAGTTTTTCCTCAATGAATGGATGTGTAAGAAGGTATCTAAAAGTGTAAGAGGATCTTATCTCCTTTAAAAATTGAAAAAATACAGCTACAAAATAGACAAATAACCACATCAAAATGCAATAAGAGGGAAAAATATGAACAAATTTCAAAACGTCCTAACTTTTTCTTTAAGAAAAGTTGGCGTTGAGTACAACTGAAATACACAATGATATTTTTTTTGTTCCGCATAGAACAAAAATATAATTGTAATGACAATTAAATTAGTGGAATAGTAACATTATGATATAACAATCGTAGCTATAATACGGTAGACCTCATTTTTTAAATTATGTTGAAGTAAATATTAGTATAAAACTAAAAAATGAATTGAAGATAAATAATAGTTCTACTCAATAAATATCTATTTATATATAATGGTATTCGCGTTGTATTTTTGTCATTTTTTTGTTTTTGATAATTTAACCCCCGAAACTCAAAAAAAAAAAAAAAAAAAAAAATGTTTCCTAATGTTCTAGTGCCAACGCGTATGTATCCCGTGTCCATGTGTAACAGCGCTTGGCCGTAATATTTGCTTGCAGATGATTTTTCTAATTTTTTTTTTTTTTTTAGTATCTTAAATGAGCGTCGGGAAGAAGGCAATTGTGTAAATTAAGCTTTCACATTCTACAATGATGAATGAGATAGTTTCTTGTCTCTCTGCAGTTGACAAAGCCTGCAAATTTATAGCATGTTGATCCATCTTCCTCTTCCAGGCGTACTAACTTATTTGCTGGTCCATTTCCTTTCAACATTCACCATCAAACAAAAAGAGGACCACTCACAAGTACTGCATGTTCTTTCTGTGGGTGCCAAAAGGTTAAAAGCCTTCTGAATATTGGTACTGCAGGCACAATCACCAAGAGAAAGTAGTTAACCAACTCATTAAATTGACACACTTATCAATTCCATTGGGATACGACTACAGTACGGACTAAGGTTTTTATTTATTTATTTATAATAAATATATATCTTAAATCTTAATCAACTTTGATTAAAACAAAGTCCAGTAAACCATATGAGCCCCTGGTTTGTGTAGGATAGGCCCGATTTGATTTTGGATTTGGCTCTTACTTCATACCCATAAATATGGACTAATGCCTTATTTGACAGTAATATTATACAAGTAAACATATTTATTTGTTGAGAAATGATAACTCTTCCGACTTTAATTGTCGATTCATCCTCCGAATATAACGTGGTTGGATCAAGTTGAAACTCTTAAAACAAAATCCCGTAAACATCTCTTTTTTTTCGACTCATTCCCAACCACGTTGTATTCGAATAATGAATCGGCAATTGAGGTCAAAAGACTGATCACTTCTCTTATTTGTTTGTCAAGTTGTAATTAATTGAACCATATAGTTTATCGTTCAGATAATGCAAAAAGTTTCTCTAGACACCAAAACACTGTACTTGAATTGGGCCTAAATACTCATCTAGAGACCATGTATGATGCTCTTTTACATCATAACCACAATTTCTTTGATTTTACCTACAATTTTTTAAATATATATATATATTGTATTTTTATATATTGAGAGGAGAGAATATATACAAGAGAAACTTGGGAGCAATACCTCGAGGATTACAAAAGATTGGGTTTGGATCCCAATAAGCAAAACAAAGAACACAGTTCAACCCGGAGCCAACACAAGAAGACAAACGGAGCCCAAGTTGGGGGAGGCCCAAATTCCTTCATTTCATGGCCCACCCATCAAGCAACTACCTAACTAAACTTCACCTAGGCGGGAAACATTAACACATACAGAGCCAGCCATGGGAGAGGGGTTTGGTGAAGGAGAAGTAGAGATTTCTCTCCGATGGTTCAAAGGAGGAGTTGGGGAGACTCCAATCAGAAGCAATGGTTTCAGCATAGGGGCAATTGCATCGTTTGACGCAGAAAAGCCGGATATAGTTGACTATATGATATTCAAAGATAAGACTTTGTTGCACTTTAATTTCTGCTTTCAATTTGATGATGCATTGTAACAGTTAGGGTTTGTGTAAAATCCACACTTTTCTTGCAATCTATTCCATATGATTTTTGAGTAGTAACATTGGTGGAATAGATGTTCATGACTTTCTATTCAATTGAAATCGACATAGGGCGCACACAAATTGGATGCATCATATAGTCCAAATTAGATTTGTCTGGAGTCAAAAAAAATTCTTGACTAGCCAACCATAGACAAAAAGAGTGCGCGGGGATTATTATTTTTTTTAAGAAAATGATTCTCACGCCTATTTCTTAGGCTGGGTTGTATGGCCTATAAGTTTTTATTCATTGATGTTAGTGAATGGAACCCGTTTCTAGTTTATCTGTGCCTTCTAATGGATATGAATCCTTTAGACCTAAGAATTAAATAGGCCTAAGTATCATTACTCTTTTGTAACTACCTACAAAGTTGCTCATATATATCTCATGCATATAGGATTTGAGACCCATGCATTAATCAATTTGGCGCGCAGCACAACAAGTCTACAACCATAGGCTTACTATAACAATGAATAAAACACATGCAGCTGAATTAATTTTAAAAACATCAAGATCTTTAATTGATTAAATATGTTGATAATACAATGTATAACGAATGAACAACAAAAGAATATACCTGTGTATGACATTATAAGTTTCTATATATCTATATGAATGCTAGCCAGCTACAACTCCTAAATCACTCCCAATAACAATGACCATGAATTGGCCGGAGATAAAGCAATAGTGTCAAGGATGAGCACCATTGACAAATGAGTGCCCTTCCCCGGGGCTTGGACCGGTGTTCTTGATACCACGGAGCGCAAGAAGTACTGCTTCATGATTATGTTGATGACTCTTCCCTCCATGGCTAGGATTTGATTTCATCTCGGCATGGTGGTGGTGGTGGTGGTGGTGGTGGTGGTGGTTCGAAACGCTAAGAGGACGGGCTTGTATGGGGTTGAATAGCACAGTGAATATCAAAAAGAGAGCTAGGAGGAGAAAGAGAAGGCTAGGTTGTCTGGCCATGAATGTGGGATCGATCTGTATAATTAAAGAAATATTCTTTTTTGTTGGAGGAGAGAGATATTGTTAAGTTGATTGATGATGAAGATGAGTAGTTTATGTAATCATGTATTTATAGGGAGAGATCGATATATGCATGTTTGACTGGGGAATAGAACAGAAGTGCCCGGTTCAAACACGTATAGGGGAACATAGTGTGGATTAGGAAGCATGAAAGAAATTCTTGGAGAGAGAGAGAGAGAGAGTTTTGAAGATTGATCAGATGACCAAAGACCAGTTTATTTGAAAAATTTTAAATTCCAGTCTAAATTTGGTTAGTTGAAGTGTTGAATAAGAATTTCATACTTTGCATGCACAGAAAACCCACATCATATTGGTATAAATTATGAAAGAAATATATATATATACATTTTATTGGGATAACTTGAAGCTATTTTGAATGAAAATTAATAAAAATAAAATAAAATAAATCTATGGAAGATATTTGATTTAGTCATGGCCAGTGTGTTCATTTTTTTTTTTTTTCGATTTTAAATGAAATTTTGAGAAAATAAACAATGGGGTGTGAGTCATGGTACTGGATTAGTTGCCTAAAAAGGTGAATAAGTCATACGCACGCGTTTTTTAATATTTTTTTCACAGAAAAAACCACTTGGCCCATGACTAATTTTCCAGCGGTAAAAAATAAGGTTGACAAAGATATATATTGCTATAAGACTGGACTGCTTTGTTTGACTAATTGAAAATAATTTTATCACATTTACTTATTTTATTTTTTGAACCACGCTACCCTTCACGTCTATACTTTCAAAAATAATTTATATGGAAAGTAAGTACTGCTTGGTTTGTCATATATATAGTTTTTAAAATTTTAAAATAAAAACCTATTTTCAAAATATTATAAAAGATATTTATTTGAAACATCTTTTTAACTTGAGTATTCAAAAAATAGTTCTTACCACTATCAACCATCATCAAAAGAAAGAGCCAAAACAAGTGAGACTATTATAGAATTTTAAATTACTATTATCCTAAATTATAAAAGCACATTAAATTAAAACTCTTTCTTTCCTTTTCTCCTAAGTAACCCATTAAATTGTGAGTTTATTTTCTTCTTTTCCATTCAACCGATAAAAAGAGAAAATGACAACAATCTATTTTTTTAGAAATTTGACAGCATTCATTCTTTCTTTCTCCCTTCCATTCAGTTTTTTTCTTCCCCGTCAAAGAAAGCATTAAGAAAAGAAATTTAAGCAAGATAGCATGTGTGGTCTGCTTTAGACTACGCTTATGAAGTTATTTTAGACATTTAATTTAATTGGACCATGACATATATCTAAATTCAGCACTCCTTGCATAAATTGACTTAAACATAACTTCAAGCTTACGTTTGGACAAGGAAAAGAAATTGTGTTTTCATTCTGGTAATTGTTCCCATTTTTCTAAATGAAAGAAATAAATTTCATTTATAAAAAATTGTGTTTTCATTATGGTAATTTTTCCCATTTTTCTTCGCTATTTTATAAGAAAACGAATTTCCCAGCAAATTTATAAAAAGTCTCTTACATACATACATAAATTATATATAATTTCTTTCACATGTTTCAGCAAAATAAGATTTTTTTCCCTCCACCAAACTAAAGAGAATAAAAAGGAATTTATTAATCATGACTGAGAGATGGTTGACTAACGAATTGGAGCTATTTAGATTCACCATATTCAAAACCAGACGCCCATAAAATCATTAGCTAGCTTGGTTTATCAAAGATTCAAAGGCATTTCCTGTACAAAAATTAGTCAATAGATACCAACGAAAGAGCACAATAAAATGGAAAACAAACAGTAATATCAACCAACGCCAAGCAAAATGCATGTGATTGTATGTCGGCGTTTTGAATTTGCAGTTGGAAAATTTTTAATTCTAAATCTAAAACTGGTACCTCCCAAATACAACATCCATTTTTTTTTTTTTAATTCATTGGTTCCATTTAGTGATAGACCTAGGATATTATGTGAGGGGCCAATAATAAAAAAATTTCAATAATTTTAGGGGGGTTGTAGTAATTTTTAAAGGGTATACAATCAGGACAGAGCCAATGAAGGCCTGGGCACGTGCCCCCCTCAGCTGGCCCGCACTTTATAATATATGTGATAATTTTTTAAATTTTTTTTCCATATATATGAAAAAAAATTATATAGTGCCCCCTAAATTTTTTAGTTTCTAAATTTCTCTTTGTTTTTTCTTTATTTTCTCTTTTACACTTCAAATTCGTTAAAATAAAAAGTCAAAATTTCTTTCTTCAATTGAAAGACTTAATTTTTTCCTTTTAAAGTTCTCTCATTTTTTTTTTCTACTTTTAGTTCTTAAAATTCTTTTTTTTAATGTGCATATTTGAATAATTTTTTTCTTCTTCTTCTTTTGAATTATATATTTGTTATGTTATATATATATATATATATATATTACACCATGCCTCCCTTCACTTGAAATCCTGGCTCCATTCCTATATGTAATTGAAGAAAATAAATTATTAAGGATGTATTATTTAAAAATAAAAAATTTCAGGTTCCCGTGTAGGTCCGCCGTGCCTGGTTCCATTGATATTTTATTATAAAATATATGTAAAATACCTTCTATATTTGAGAATTCATATATGATACTATGTTCTTTTTTGGTCTAGTTATTTCAAAATAGTTTTAGTAAACTCATTAAAATATAATACAATATTATGAAAATGGAACCTCCTTATGTCATTTTTTGTTCCCTATGTCATTTTTTTGATGTTTAACAGAGGAACTTATTCTTCTCCTTTTGATTGATCACTCAATTGGTTGGAGTGTTTGTTTCTTACGGTGTCTTGATGGTTGTTAGTGTTGGAATTTATATGTCCTGGCATAGCAAATTTCTGTTTGGATTAAAGTGACATATGTTCCTGACGTTTATGAAATATTTATATTTTATACAATTGGTGAATTCAATGTATTATATTTCGATTCATTATAGAATTGATAGTATCTATTTGATTACAAGAGATATTTATATATATGTTTGTGATGGCAATCAATGCATGATATATAAATAGTAATCATAAATGGTTCATAGTCGGTAATTATGGATGGACTCATAATTAATTAAGATTTGAACTAGATCCGCGTTAGGTTGAGATATATTGCGAGAGCCGTCGTATGTAATTGCTCCCTATCACCGTCATGGCATTTGACTCTTAAGTATGAGAAAATTATAGACTCTTTTATTAATTAATAATTACTTTGATTTGTTCGGCGGATTCTTCGGGATCCTTAGACCGACACTTTGGGTAGTTATGTAATTAATAGTTAGAGGGTTATATTTTCAATATTTGCATCATTGCTACTTGTATTTATTTTGTATTGATTGTGGTTGATCACAAAGTAAATTCGAAGGCCTTCGTGTATTTTTAGACAAAATGATTTATTATATATTTATTTATTTAAATTATTATTTTTGTCAAACAAACGTTTTATTATGATCGAGCCAGAAATAATCAAAGGTACCAAAATAAATATATTAATTAAGTAGTCGGATTGATGGCCTTTATTTATCCGATAACTAATTATGCATAGAGGGGTCAAAGTGCAATATTGACTTAGAGGTTATTTATTATTTAATTGGAGTTCAATTAATTTCTTTTAGTGGAGTAGAAATTAATTTATGAATTAATTGAATTGGGTCCATGGACCGGGCCAATTATTAATTCATTGTAGCCAATAAAATAATAGACCCAATGGATTCTCACTCATAGCCCAACTTGATATTGGAATCATATTAGATTTAAGACATGTGAATTAGAGATTGAGAAAGATTAGTTGTTTCCTTTTCTTTACCTTTATGTTGCCTATAAATATACATGGTCTATGTATATTTTAGGTGTGATTTTTAGTAGAAGGAAAAAGGAATATATTTTCTCTCTCTAGAAAATTAGGGGTTTATGTTCTCATCTAATGGAGGCTCCCACAAGCCTAGTTTTCCAAGGTCATTCATGGAGGCATATGAGTGATTCCTAAAAGCAAAACAATTACCAAGAAGATGGAGATCCAAGAAGAATGCATCTTACTAAGGAATCTACAATAAATGAGAACATTCACTTTAGAGGAGAGATCTAAGGTTTACTCAAACCTTGATGTAAGTATTCAATCTTTTAATTGAATGATACATCATGATCTATGAATTTAAATCCCTCGAAAAGTTTTTAAAATTAGCACGTTTCCCAACCGTTAGTACATGTGCGGGGTTCACATAGGCTTTGTTTGATTAAATAATAGAGAAAATAAAAGAAATTATGTGAGAAAAGATAAGAGAAAATAAAGGAAAGAATAATTTCTACGTTCGACCCTAACAAACAATTTAAGAATTTTAGAAAGTAATTTTAAAGATAAATTAGTATTATAGTGTTATTTCAATTTTTGTTAAAATTACTAATTTAAATATGATTTGCATATTGTAAATTTACTGAATGAAATGAATGATTCTTCTCAAATTTTCGAATTTCTCCTCCAGTTAGCCATCTTGATTCAATTTTTTTTTATTTTTTTCCCTAAACAATTAGTAATATTTTGTAAAGAATGAAAATTTTCCTTTATTCATTATATGGGGTGTGAGTTGAATTATCTATTATAAATATTTTTTCTAGATATCCTCCACCATAATAAATGGCTAGAATGGATTCCAAATTAAGATTTACTCTCTTAATATTCTATTAAAATATTTGTAATTTTAGATTATTCTCTACTTTTTAAGAATGCTATAACACTCTGCCCAACTCTGGACAACTTGTTTTTAGAATCCTCCAATATCCTCTACACAACTCTTTACTTTTAAAATCTTCTCGGCCTTTAACAAATATTTTACTTTTAAAATCTTACTTTCGCCGTGAATTCTCTTTCTCCGTACACAGTATTCGGTCTACCCCTGTTTCAGAATGCATCAGAACTCAAGGGGGATTACTTAATATACATTTGTTCCTTTTCAGTTATATACTTCTAAAATATTACCATTGTCTCCTTAAAATTATTTTAAAAAATTTATTATTTAAAAAATTCCCTTCTCGCATAATTTTATAATTAATGTGATAATAATTTACAGCTTATACTTATAGCTTAGAGATAGATGATGACGCACGTTTATGATTTTTAAAAACTTTATATTATGTTTCTAATATGTTTAAAAGTACATTGGAATATTATATTATTTTTTAAAAGTAATTGCAAAACTATTTCGTAGGGTCTTGAAAGTGTTGAAGGTGTATTCCTATATTAAGGCAAAATATTAAAATTCTATGACACTTTTAGTTATCTTGAACAAGTCTAGCACGTGTGTTTGTGTTAAGAACGTATTCAGGAATTGTTAATGGAATAGATTAATATTTTTTAAGTGGGTTAATACTAATAATTATTTTATTTTATTTTTAGATTGGACTAAAATTAAGTATAAAAAAATAAAAATAAAAAATTGGTGTGGGCTTGAGCCTATCCCTGTATCCGCCAAAAGGACAGTACCCTAGAAGGGCACACGTACTTCTTAGGTGAACATCATATCACATATTAGAAATAAGCATTTAAGACAAGTGATTCTAATCTTGTCACAAAAAATCACTGGGGGATCCAGGAGTTGGCTTGGGTAAAAAATATATATTTTTTAGCATACCTAATTTTAGCCCAAAAGAAATATATATTATTATTATTAGTCCACCTAAAAATATATTAGCCCACTTTATTGATAATTCATGAATTTGCCTTTGCATAAAATTGATTACTTATCATTAAAATTTAGAGGAGTTTGGATCTTTATGTGTGTAGTAGTGTTATATACTAATCCTAACTCACACGCACGCAAGTGCTCATATGCATAACAAGGGGAGTAGATATTGAGCCCGTCAGGTAATACCAAGTCATTAGTAATGATGCTTAAGTTATGAAACACGGACACACGTGGTAAGAGTGCCGTACCAATGTCGGACACGTGTGACATGTGTTTGACACCTTTTTACCGGTGTCCTATTTTTTATTCATTTTTTAAATTCGAACACACCATAAGATACGGCCGAGACACGCTGAAGGACACCGCAGTTCAAATTCTTGTTTGAAAGAAAGAGATAATGAAGAGATATGTGTGGACTGATTGAAGACAACAAACTTAAAAAAAAATATATATATATATATATGAAGAACCTGGTGATCATGCTCTGCTTTGGTTGGTGTGGAACAATTTAAGAACGAATGAAAGAAAAATTATATTTTAATTGTTTGAGTGAAAATTTGTTTGCATATTCTTTAAAAATAAATTCATGAGGAGAAGGAAGGAAGGGACAGAGGAAAAGGAAGATAGAAAGTTAAGAGAGGGAGGAGATGGCGTCTGGCTAGAGGAGACGTGGGAGGACCGAGGAGATAAGATTGTAAAATTTGTATCTTATCTCCTTTTCAATGTGTGTGGTTACAAAGTTAAAACTGTTCTAGTATTGATACAAATTCTAGTATTGGATATAAAGATATATTACATATTTATTATTTGAATTTTAATAGAATTTGGATTGAACTTAATTTAAATATATTATGCCTATTAATGTAAATTAAAAATTAAGAGAAATTAAAATTTTATATATAATAAATATAAATATATATATATATATAATTTTATTATTGTATCTTTGTCGTATCGTATTCTAATTTTTTAAAATTTGTTGTCGTATCGTATTCTAATTTTTTAAAATTTGTTGTCGTATCCTATCCGTGCTATATCGTGTCGTGTCGTGTCCTGTATCGGTGTTTGTGTTTCTTAGTACTTAACTAATGACAATGCATTATTTTTTAAAAAAGTTGACTTACCTATTTATAAAATTATTAAGAACAAGATAATATATTATATTTAATTAAATGTATATATATTTGACGCCGGAAAGAACCTAAGCGATTAGTAGGTTGGTTTATTTATTTTATTTTTATTTTTATTTTTATTTTTTTATGGCCACGTCACCAACAATTTGCTATGACGTGTCGCCAAGGCCAAACAAATTTAAAAAACGGCTCCTAACCGTTGTAAACCGTTAAAACGATACGAAACCGGCATTACCGGCAATGATAGGCAACAACTAACCGAACAACCATTCCGTGCTAGCAGTCCCAGCATTCACAGAATGACGCAGCACATAGTTACAAGCTTTCCCACTATTCCTAGCCTGCCACGTGCACCCTTCCATCTTCTTTATGACGTGCCTCAATCCGATTGGTTCCAGCTCTGCTAAACTAGTCCATTAGACAGAAAACATTCTCTGTTACAGTCTGCAGCCAACCGTCATTTTCCGGTTATAGTCTCTAACTGTCCAGCGAAGTTCCAGATACAAAGTTTCACACCCCTGCACTGCATATATAGAGAGAGAAAATGAACCCCAAAAAAACAGTGTAGAGAGAGTCCGGCGGAGGAATTAACCGGGCTAGGGTTTGTAGGAAGATCATTGCCTCTCTTATTTCTTCTCAATCAATCTCATAACAAGCCCTAATTTTCAGGACCTGTAACCGCTCAGTATAAATATTGTTATCTTTACACACTTTTGGTATATATGGCCTCAGAATCAACTCCTGAAGTACTCTTACAAAATGATGGAGATTACGACGACGAAATGCAGGAGATGGCATTTGCCAAGAGAGGGTGTTGTTTCTGCATACCATGTTTCTCGTCGGAGCGATCGACGGGATCGCTTTGGTGGGAGCGAATCACAACGGCGGAGAAGGAGGAGAAGTGGTGGGCCAAAGGGTTGACGAAAATGAGAGGGTGGTCGGAGCTCGTGGCCGGACCGAGGTGGAAGACTTTCATCCGCCGGTTCAACAAGAACCGGAATAGCGGGAGGAGCAACTCGAAATTCCAATACGACCCCTTGAGTTACGCGCTCAATTTCGACGAGGGTCCGGGGCAGAACGGTAATTCAGATTGTGATTATCCCGTGTGTGATTTCTCTACCAGGTTGGCCTCCATTACGACGTCGTCCGTGAATCCGGTGAAGGAGGACGGGCCGTCATCGCTCACGTGACTCTCACTTGAAACAGGGAATTGATTTATATATATATTTTTTCCGGGTGGGTTGGCTTTTGCGCGGCGGCGGTCGCTAACGTGCGCTCTGGGCGAGGTGCGGCGGGCTGGCCGCGGAGGTTCGTGAAATCGTGTGGGTCGTTCTTGATAAATCAATGGTTGACTTGTTTTGACCTTGTCAAATGGTCCGTTTGATCTGCGTTTGTACATTATAGATTTGTTTTTATTTTTTTTCAATTTAAAATTGAGTTAATCATTTGGTTTTATTGGAGGGAAGTGAAAAAGGGGTTGTGACTTGTGATATGAGCATGTGGAGGCCTTGTGTTGTGAAGGTTGCACCATGAGGTCCGTTGTACCTCGGTTTTGATCAGTGAAACATTACAAGAAATCTTTGGCTTATCTTGCATTGTTCATCAAAATTATCACCAGAAATTTCTTTCCACCTAATCTATTTAGTGAAGTTTTCAAAGATTTTTCGTGTAAAAATAATTCAAAAGTTTCAAAGAGTCATAGCTGGATAAATCGAACTTTCAAAAGCTATATCATTTCTCAATTTTGAACAAAGTTCATCTAATTTTATTCAACGAATAAAATTGAACACAACCGTGCATCTATTTCTTGAATATCTATCATTTGAAGTAGTTCATTGTTCAATTAGCTTATAGTTCATTGTTCAATTAGCTTATAAATGAGCAAATCTAACATGGTATTTTAAGCTTTTTGGTCCATTGTGATGGGCTTGGTAAGAGAATATAATATTTAATATTGTTTTACACAAAGTGATGATCTTCAACCTTATTGTTTTAATGATATAACAATCTTAGTTTCTAAAATAAAAATTAGATCAGAAAATAATAATTACAATGGCCTGATTAAGGAGCTACTTCAACCTAAGAAGAACAAACAATGACCCAACGCCAATACTGTCAAGTTCTGAATCAAAAAGCTCTATTAGAAGAAGAAAAATAAAATAAAATAAGTCGGTCACACTAGGGTTTTCATGGATCCTACCACCACTATCCCATTAATTGTGCCCACACTATCTTAAAAATAGTTGATGTCACGTATCTTTGATGACTTGGTTTAACATTTCTTTAGTGATTTGGCTTGTGATATCACTAATTGGGTTGTGTTACAAGTGGCTTTGAAGGATTAAAGTATGAATTAATGAAGGATTCTTTTTGGATTAGGTAAGGATTAAGCTAGAGACATATGTCATTATGTAAATGAGAAACGATTCCATATTCCAACCATCGCAATTCACAACTGCTTGCATGTGTCTCTTTTTGAATCATTCCAAATTCGCAAACATATTTAATTGTCATTTGATGATGATTTGTCAATCATAGTTAGTTAACTAAAATAATCATGCTCTTCAATGATCGCTATAATATTATTGGGTAGGTAGGGAAAGAATTGAAAAATATTAGCGGTTGTGAAGTCTAAATCACAAATTCATTTTATGTTCTTCGTTTTATGTCTTTGAATGTTGTTGGTATAAATCTTTTTTTTCTCTTTTCGTGTTTAGAGTTGTGTATGTTGAAGAGCAATCGAATTGTGAGATCTATGTCTGAGGATTTTTTATTGTAAATATTCATCATTAATAGTGATATTTTTAGTGCGTTCCGTAAACGTAGGCAAAACAATTTTGCCAAACCCCCTAAATAAAATTGAAAGATTTATGAAAAATAAACCACATGAATTAAAGAAATTACAAGCAAATTTAGACTATAACAATGCCTAATTACAAAACATGGAAATATACAAATATGCTCCATACCATACCACATAGAATATTGCTAATTTGCTACTTCGCTCTAGACTAGCTATATTGAGATATAGATTTATGTGATAAAAGAAAATTTACCATGCCAAGTTTGTTTGCATGTTTTACATGTTTGTTCCAGCTCTGGAAACTTCAGAAACTATGGATCTTTCTTCATCATCCCTTATAGTACTGAGCATAAGAGCAACCTGGTTTATGCTTGGCCTGGTCTCCGGGGCGCGATTTATGCATTTTATGGCTACCTGTAACAAGTTCACCAACCTCTCTTCACTTGCACCTTCTTGGATTAGGGTTTTGTCGAAAACTTCTCCGGTCCACTCTTCGTGAACCACGGAAAGTACCCATTTGGCCACGTCCATCCCATTGTTCTGGACCTGCAGCTTTCCAGTGAGTAGCTCCAGAAGAATCACACCGAAGCCATAAATGTCTGCTTTGAAGGAACTTTCATTTTGTGCAGTGTCCATCTCCATTAGACCATACTCACTAACGTATGGTTCCATGTTCTTGTTAAGCAAAATGTTTGAGGATTTCAGGTTACCATGAGCAATCCCTTCTTCACTAAGCTCATGATGCATGAAAGTTAAGGCCTCAGCAATTGAAGCTGCAATACCAAGCCTGCTGCTCCAGTCAAATGGTTGGCCTAATTTTGTTCCTGAAATTTACCTCAATTATATTATTAATCAACATAATATATAAAATTCAGGAATATTAATAGGTACTTTGTATCAAAACTGTGTCTTTCAGGACCCATGTCGACACTGTGCAGATACTGTCTACTTTGCACTACACAAGCGCTCACAGTTTTCATCAAAACGCGTCTACACAAATAGAAGACATCCCTTATAAGTGTCAGGACCTTCTCCCCATATAATGTGGGATGTTCCTCTCTCTCACACACACATGGCTGGTTTGTGAAAGAGAATCTTGTAATTAAAATGTTTTTTTGTACCATCAGAAATTTAAATTTGGGATCTTTGGTGGTATCTCTTGACCTTTCAAAGTAGAAGTTGAGGGTTATGTTTTAATTTGTACTAGTTGTGCATTTTAACCAAAAAAAATTGTTTTATGGTGCCTTTAAACATGCTATACAGAACCATGTCATAAACAATTAACTGAAGATCAGGAAATGGAAGTTACCATGAAGAAGCCTCAAGAGACTGCCATTCTGCTGATATTCATAGACCAGAAGCTTCTCTTGCCTTGAACAATAAAAGGCCACGGCTGGCAATACATTGGGATGCTTCACTTGGTCCAACCTCCTCATTCTCGTCTTGAAATCATCGCTGGAAATACCCCAATTCTTGATCCTCTTGACAGCCAGAGCCACCTCTTCCTCACAGATAACCTTATAGACACTACCATGCTTTCCCCTCCCAAGCAACTCAGCAGGAGCCTTCAGCAAGTCCTCAAATCTCAACCCATTCACCACCGGACTCGTGAGAACTATCAGCGACGAGGACATCAATGCACTTTGATCAGCTGAGGCAGCCAAAATTTCTGATTTGCTCAAGTCTGTTTTGTACTCAATTGTAGTGAAACTAGACTTGTTGATGCTATCATCAAATGATGCTACTTTGTAATCTGAATCATCGTTCTCTCCTTCTGTCTTCTTTTTTCTACACACCCTGAAAAGGATGAGGAGGACAATAACAAGACCTATAAGAAAGTAGCCTGAGAACATCAGAACCTGCACACTAGAGACACCTTTAGACTTCTTTGTCTCTTCAGATTCTGTGTGTAATGGTGGGCATTTCTCAGGCAGTGGATCTCCACACAATTCAGTATTCCCAGTGAAGCTGCTCACCGGGAAACGACTAGCCCCACTAGGTATAGGACCACTGAAATTGTTGAAGGAGACATTGAACTGGAAAAGGTTGGAGAATTCGAAATCCGGAATAGCCCCAGTGAAATGATTTTTTTGAGCAGAGAACTCTGTCAAACCGGATATCCCGGTTAGATCAGGCAAATCACCAGCCAAATTATTGTTCGATAAATCTAGTTTTTTCAGATTAACTAATCTGGAAACTGAGCTGGGAAGGCTACCAGAGAACTGGTTTCCACTGATATACAAGTGAGTGAGTTGTCTGCAGTTCCCAATAGCATCTAAGATCTCTCCAAAAATTTTGTTGTCACTGATACTTAAACTAGTGAGAGACAGGGCAAGAGATTGCACGTCACAGAGAGCATTTGCATCAAGAGTTCCGGAAAAATTGAAGCTGTCGAGAGTGATCTTCTTCACAGTGACATTCCCAATATCGCAGCCTATACCCATCCACTGGTCCCTGCATGGATCAGAGGATAGGTTCCAACCCCAAGCCGGTTCAGGTGGGCTGTTCATGTTGGATAGCTTTCCGAAAAACTTGATCAGGGAGCTCTTGACCTCCTCTGTCTCGGATTTTGTCGTCTGGAGGAGGAGATAGAACGAAATCAAGAGTACCCAAGTGGGGATTCGATTCATTTTGGATAATAGAAGCATTGATGGAGATGGGTAAAAAATTGCAGAACAAGGAGGAGATGTCAATGTTCATAGGATGTTTGAGGTAAGTTATTTAAGGATTGGCGGATTTCACAATGAGTTATGCCGGCAAGAATAAACGGTTGATACTAGGTGGTCATGTCCTTCTCAATGGAATCAATCAAGAATTTTAAGAACTATTGCCTATACAAATGAGACACACACACCAGGTTGAACATTTCAAGATCCTCCTGTTGGTATCTAAATAGAATATCTGCAAACAGGTGATATGCTTCAAACTAACGGAATTAAACAGACTGGTTCAAGATACCATTAGCCTCACTCTTTAACTTATTCACAGCCCAGATAAATGAGAATGCCAAGTACAATTCTGTGCTCTGCTGTTGCAATTGTGCTAGAAACAGAGTATTCAATACTATAGACAACAGATCATCCAATACAATAAAACATTTATTAATCATTCCCAGTAGCTTTAAGAGTTTTATAAAGCATTCTTATAACTTATTGACAGCCCAGATGGATGAAAATGACAAAGTTGTAAAATTTTGTCCATTATGCTAAATTTTTCATTATGTGCTCTGCTGTTGCAATGTGTTAGAAACAGAGCATTCAATATTATAAAAAATAATAATAATAATAAAACAGAGTATTCTATACAATAAAGCATTTATTAATAATTTTGAGTAGTTTTCAGGTTTTATAAAGTATAATAAAGCGCATAAATAAAACACCCATCATTTGCCTAGAGAGAATATAGATCTCACACTTCGGATTTAAGAAATGAAAAATTGAGCTTAAGAAAACACAAGCATGCAACAAACTCGGCCGGCTCAAGTTTCCACATTCATCTCTACATTTATTAATGAACATTGATGTGAACATTCTTCATAAGCCATCAAGATAACTGCCTAAAAGAAAGAACATTTGGAAGGAGGAAAAGCATTATAAACACTTCATTGTCTGCAGAAAAGGCATATTTTTGACATTTTGTTGTACAATAGCCGAACTTCCCCAAATCTGTACACTCACGAGTCTCTCAGATATTCTTGGACTATTTTAATATCATGTTTTACTATCATGTTAAGATCAGATCTAATATATTATATTATTATAGGACAATAGGACTGCAGATGATCCAAGCTATTTGACTCATATGTAGACTAGAGATTGTTTTGGAAATGTATGGATTGTAGGAGAAATGTAGAGAAGGTGAGAGATAACTCAAGAGAATCCATCTCCCCCATCGGTTAGATTGCACCATCCATAACCGTCCGTTAAGGATGGAAAACCGCCTATTAGGAGATAGGACTCCATTATCATACAGTGTAAGTTAAAAATGACTCTAGTTTTTTAAAATAATTTTCTCCAAACATAAATCATAATTATGTTTCTAAGTTCCATTTGATAAATGTAAATCATACTTATGCTTCTAACTTCCATTTGATAAATGTGACATTATAGATTATAGATTATAGATTCAGTACACATGAACAATATCAAGTAATCACGCCTAGCTACCCGTCGTGTAATTTTACAAGAAATCAAACATTACACCATACAACAAAAAATGAACAGATGAACATAAAATGAATGTGTTCATAATAAAGTCCAAGACAATTTATTCTCTCATGGGTCTACATGACCCGCAACATCATCATCAGGTTCACTCCGTCCATCACTAATATCATCGTCACTAACCTCATCATCGCTATCTTCTGTTAAGGTGCTAGTGATATTCTCCTTCTTCGCGTACCGTTCACAATACTCTGTCGTCATAAGTGAAGAAATAAGGAAAATATGTCAGGACTAAAACATTTCTACTACTGCTGTTATCCGAAAAGCCTAAATCACTGCAGGTCTCCAAGAAAAGGAACAAAAAAAAAAAAAAAAAAATATGACCACCATATAAAAGAAAAAAAGATTAGTAGTATCAAAATGGTGACAATTGGCCAATACCAAGTTGGCCATACAAAAACTCCCACATGCTCCTATGGAGACTTGAACTCTCGACCTCCTACTTTGGAAAAGGAAGTACCCACTGGACTACAGCCTGTGGTGGTTGTACAATGTTCTCTTCACACCTATCTTCTTCTTCTTCTTCTTTTTTATTTTATTTTTTCAGATTTAAGTTATGCATATTGCAAGACACAATACCTACAAAGATTAAAGTTTGCCAAATAAATGTATTGTCAGATTCAAAATTCAGAAGTCAAACTCCAGCAGTTTAATAAGGAACCCACTCCCTCTTGGTAAAAAACTTCATGAAGGCCTTTCATTTCCAGTGAAGGCCTAAACATTAGAAATATTTTTTAAAAAAAAAACTTCACCTTTCACTTTCTGTTCATATTGCTTCTGATCCTTCATCATCAATGATGCTGCATCACCATTTAATGGGTCCGAGGGATTCGGATAAAGCAAAAGCTGTGGAAGGAAAACCTCAAACACGTTCAAAAGATCTGCAATCCAGAGTGGCAATGTTAAGATATTGAAGGACTCCTAGTGAAGATCAAGTACACAAATTAAAAAAAAAAACAAAAAAAAAAAAAAAACACTAGGGTCAACAATCAATCTCTTTCTATGTATGGTTTGTGAGTAAAAGACCAGGACTCAACAATAGTTGGCCGCAACATAAAAAATAAGTCAACAAAACTCCTGTAGTAGTAATTGTTTGGTCAGAAAGAGAAATCGTATTGGAAGATCAGGATATCACTTAATTCATCATTCATCTAATAATGAAGTAATTCCCTTATTCCTATTTTACAGAAAAAGGTCATCTCGACATTGACGACCCCAATCTCCTAAGATAGACTCCTCTCGTAATGAGTTTTACGCTGAAGAAACTGTGAGTATATTACATGTCAGTTTATGGTGCTGGAAAACCTATAATTTGGTGTGAAGACCAGATGCAAATGCTACCTTACAAATGTAACATTAAACATATATAGACGTGCTTGTTTGTAGACTAAGACCATGTTATATTTCCATTCCAGAATCCAATCAAAGAAACTACTTGTGTCAGATTGCCAGATGGTGAAACACTAGCAAATGTTCTTCAACAATATTGAATAACTTCATTATATTTCATTTATTTATCTTTTTTATGGGGGTACTTGGGGAGGGGGTAGAATTTTGGCAGACTTGAAATACACTCAGTATATGGCTCTTAGAAAAATAACAATTACCAAACATTGGACTCCATGTTTGGTTAATAACATCCAAGCACACAGAACCAGACCTGCAGTAGACCAAAAAAAAAATCTAGTGAGAATAACAACTTTTAGTAACAAACGTTCGTAAGCAGACTCATAACAAAAATGCTCCACCTCAGCTCACCAACATTTTGAGGTATGTATCAGCAACACTATAACAAGTTGAAGAATATATACACACATATTATTTCCCTCATGGAAGAACTCCCAAGAAGTTCGTCAACCACAACTTCATTTTCAAGTACACACAAGAATATCTATACACACATTATTTTCAAGAATATATATACACATTATTTCCCTCATGGAAGAACTCCCAAGATGTTCGTCAACCACAACTTCATTTTCAAGTACAAACAAGCCAAGGAATATATGTTGTGATTAATGGTCTGCCATCAATAACATATTGTCTGACAGAAAAGCTAATATGAATGGCCATATATGGGTAAGTGGGCTCACAGTTCATCAACATTTGGGTGGAATATTTTGTTCAGAAATCCAATGGAAGGAGACTTGTAAGGGTAAGCATCCGGCAGTTCCACACGGATTTTCCACACACCACCTTCATACAGGCCTGCAACAGCGAAGTGCATCGATATGAAATAACCATATCTATAATCCATTAAAAACAGAGACATTACAAAAAAAAGGTTATAGATAATATACATTGTGGGGGCAAAAGAAAAATTAGTAAACAGAAATTGACTACAATATCATGACATGACTTGACAAATTTCTGATGAATGAAAGTGAAAAATATTAAACTTCCTTTCCTTTCATAGATAAAAGTAGTGGGCAAAGTTAGCCAGATATCTTCTTCTTTTCTTTTCTCATCATTTCTTTCTTTCTTTTCTTTTCTTTTTTTCTTTTTTTTCTTTTTTTTTTTTTTTTTTGACAAGTAAAAGTTAGCCAGATATCTCCCAGAACATAAATCCAGAATTATTTGAAAAAATAACTTTGACAAATTTAAAAATAGCTACTTACATTAGCCATGTTGTCATGTAATATGATTAAACAGAATGCCCATAGGCATCAATAAGTAGAAAATTAGGAATAACACACAAATATGAGTTAAAACTTGTTCAATGGTGCATGACTCAATAAGTACCTCCACAATTGGTTAAAACTTAGGAGAGTAACAAGAGTTATCTTTGTAAATGATAAGGGTTTCAAGTTCGTACGGTTATAAAGAAGAGATGGAACTTTAGGAGCTCGGATACAGAAGCAGGAATTAAAAATAAGATTCTTTCAGTTTTGTCAGCTCCGTAAATTCACTACGTATATAATAGATGCAGATATTTTCCATAGTGCTTTTTCAGGTAGATAAATTTTCAATTATTATTATCAGATCTCGTTGTGGAAGCTCTTTTGACAGCTGCAAAATGTGGTGTCTAATTACAGTACCTAAGATTAGTATACAACATTCAAAGATTATAAGCATAACCATAGAAGCCTTTTAGGGTCGACCAAGTGACCCTAGAAGAACTTAGTACTTGATGGAGAGGGGAAACCAAAAGTAGAACCAAAAAATGGGAAGGACTATAGTTTAAATCAGGAAATGACTAGAAAATCCTTTCCAATATGCATTTGACTACAATATCATGACATGACTTGACAAATTTCTGATGAATGAAAGTGAAAAATATTAAACTTCCTTTCCTTTCATAGATAAAAGTAGTGGGCAAAGTTAGCCAGATATCTTCTTCTTTTCTTTTCTCATCATTTCTTTCTTTCTTTTCTTTTCTTTTTTTCTTTTTTTTCTTTTTTTTTTTTTTTTTTGACAAGTAAAAGTTAGCCAGATATCTCCCAGAACATAAATCCAGAATTATTTGAAAAAATAACTTTGACAAATTTAAAAATAGCTACTTACATTAGCCATGTTGTCATGTAATATGATTAAACAGAATGCCCATAGGCATCAATAAGTAGAAAATTAGGAATAACACACAAATATGAGTTAAAACTTGTTCAATGGTGCATGACTCAATAAGTACCTCCACAATTGGTTAAAACTTAGGAGAGTAACAAGAGTTATCTTTGTAAATGATAAGGGTTTCAAGTTCGTACGGTTATAAAGAAGAGATGGAACTTTAGGAGCTCGGATACAGAAGCAGGAATTAAAAATAAGATTCTTTCAGTTTTGTCAGCTCCGTAAATTCACTACGTATATAATAGATGCAGATATTTTCCATAGTGCTTTTTCAGGTAGATAAATTTTCAATTATTATTATCAGATCTCGTTGTGGAAGCTCTTTTGACAGCTGCAAAATGTGGTGTCTAATTACAGTACCTAAGATTAGTATACAACATTCAAAGATTATAAGCATAACCATAGAAGCCTTTTAGGGTCGACCAAGTGACCCTAGAAGAACTTAGTACTTGATGGAGAGGGGAAACCAAAAGTAGAACCAAAAAATGGGAAGGACTATAGTTTAAATCAGGAAATGACTAGAAAATCCTTTCCAATATGCATTTGACTACAATATCATGACATGACTTGACAAATTTCTGATGAATGAAAGTGAAAAATATTAAACTTCCTTTCCTTTCATAGATAAAAGTAGTGGGCAAAGTTAGCCAGATATCTTCTTCTTTTCTTTTCTCATCATTTCTTTCTTTCTTTTCTTTTCTTTTTTTCTTTTTTTTCTTTTTTTTTTTTTTTTTTGACAAGTAAAAGTTAGCCAGATATCTCCCAGAACATAAATCCAGAATTATTTGAAAAAATAACTTTGACAAATTTAAAAATAGCTACTTACATTAGCCATGTTGTCATGTAATATGATTAAACAGAATGCCCATAGGCATCAATAAGTAGAAAATTAGGAATAACACACAAATATGAGTTAAAACTTGTTCAATGGTGCATGACTCAATAAGTACCTCCACAATTGGTTAAAACTTAGGAGAGTAACAAGAGTTATCTTTGTAAATGATAAGGGTTTCAAGTTCGTACGGTTATAAAGAAGAGATGGAACTTTAGGAGCTCGGATACAGAAGCAGGAATTAAAAATAAGATTCTTTCAGTTTTGTCAGCTCCGTAAATTCACTACGTATATAATAGATGCAGATATTTTCCATAGTGCTTTTTCAGGTAGATAAATTTTCAATTATTATTATCAGATCTCGTTGTGGAAGCTCTTTTGACAGCTGCAAAATGTGGTGTCTAATTACAGTACCTAAGATTAGTATACAACATTCAAAGATTATAAGCATAACCATAGAAGCCTTTTAGGGTCGACCAAGTGACCCTAGAAGAACTTAGTACTTGATGGAGAGGGGAAACCAAAAGTAGAACCAAAAAATGGGAAGGACTATAGTTTAAATCAGGAAATGACTAGAAAATCCTTTCCAATATGCATTTGACTACAATATCATGACATGACTTGACAAATTTCTGATGAATGAAAGTGAAAAATATTAAACTTCCTTTCCTTTCATAGATAAAAGTAGTGGGCAAAGTTAGCCAGATATCTTCTTCTTTTCTTTTCTCATCATTTCTTTCTTTCTTTTCTTTTCTTTTTTTCTTTTTTTTCTTTTTTTTTTTTTTTTTTGACAAGTAAAAGTTAGCCAGATATCTCCCAGAACATAAATCCAGAATTATTTGAAAAAATAACTTTGACAAATTTAAAAATAGCTACTTACATTAGCCATGTTGTCATGTAATATGATTAAACAGAATGCCCATAGGCATCAATAAGTAGAAAATTAGGAATAACACACAAATATGAGTTAAAACTTGTTCAATGGTGCATGACTCAATAAGTACCTCCACAATTGGTTAAAACTTAGGAGAGTAACAAGAGTTATCTTTGTAAATGATAAGGGTTTCAAGTTCGTACGGTTATAAAGAAGAGATGGAACTTTAGGAGCTCGGATACAGAAGCAGGAATTAAAAATAAGATTCTTTCAGTTTTGTCAGCTCCGTAAATTCACTACGTATATAATAGATGCAGATATTTTCCATAGTGCTTTTTCAGGTAGATAAATTTTCAATTATTATTATCAGATCTCGTTGTGGAAGCTCTTTTGACAGCTGCAAAATGTGGTGTCTAATTACAGTACCTAAGATTAGTATACAACATTCAAAGATTATAAGCATAACCATAGAAGCCTTTTAGGGTCGACCAAGTGACCCTAGAAGAACTTAGTACTTGATGGAGAGGGGAAACCAAAAGTAGAACCAAAAAATGGGAAGGACTATAGTTTAAATCAGGAAATGACTAGAAAATCCTTTCCAATATGCATTTGCACCAAATTTAGTAACCAAAAGATGTAAAATGATACTTCTATACCTATAATGCACCCAAAAAATGGCAGCATTGTATAAACAAATATTTATATTCACACGCAATTCACTATTGAAATTTTTTTACTGCCCGTAGCATGAGATTTTAACTAATACTTTAGAAAAAGAGGTGTCTTTGATTATAAATTCTATTTTGGTAGTGATATAGGCTTCTGCAACTAAGAGTTGACTTTATACTCATAGAAGTCATGGCGATTACCACCAAACACATCAGTTTTTTCTCAAAAGCGTGTACAACAATACGCACTCATGTCATATAAAACAAATAACCTGATGTTTAGAATCAAGCAGGAAAGGACCTGACGGAGAGATTTTAACAAAGAAAGGGGGGAAATGGGGACCTTCAAGTTCGTTCAAAGCCATGAAACATGCCTCTAAACTCTAAAGTCAACAGTCTATGGTCCTAGCTATAAACACCCAATCTGTGATTTGTCTTGTATAAGTATTATGCTGGAGATATACACACATTAGCTCCAATTGAGACGCACAAAATTAACAGTGAGAAAAGTATATATTTAAATCAAACAAGCAACTTGAATCATAAAGTATACACATTCTATTAACAAAATAATAACCATGCTCTTCAACCGAATGCATAATCACTATTTGGATTTCAAATTGGTAATTCATAGAAACAAACTGAGAGTGGTAGAAAGTATAATATCTGTTGTGAAGATCACCAAGGTGCCATTTCAATAAAAGTATTATCTTGGATAGGGAAGAAATATTACTTTCTTTTGGACCATGGAATTCCACATTAAATTCACTGATTCCATCATTTATTGGCTCAACGGCATAGTCGCTCATCATCCTATAGCATGAAAAAAACAAATCAGTAATAACATTAAGAAGAACCCCATCTACAACTACAAATGTAATTTCAATATGAGAGATTGCAGGAGAAAAATCCAAGAAGAAACATACATAATTATAGAAGGCAAATTAAGAAACAATAGTGCTCATAGAGCTAAAATTTGTGCTAGCAGTAATTGTAGAACTTTGAACAAATGAAACAGAAAAAGACAACATAAAAATTCATGTCAGATAAATACAAATAGAAAGCAATATGTGAAACAATAATGACAAGCATTAAAAAAAAAGCCCTTACAGTTTCATGACATCCATATCTCTCCTCTTGCTTGGAGAAGACATTTTCTTGGCTAGTAAAGACTACCCAGTTACGAACCTGCACAATAATATAAATGAGGCAACATCAACTATTTGAAGTGCTAAAGTTGCTTTATATTCAAAACTGAACACATCAGATTCAGGATTAGGGATGGCAGGTGCATTCGCTTTTGGGAGGACATTTGGTGTGGTGACTGTTCATTGGTGTGCACCTTCCCTAGTCTTCTGTGGATTGCTTGGGATAGACATGCCTTGGTAGCCAACTGTTATTGGCTTGATAGTGGGAGGACATCATGGGAAGTGAGCTTCTCGAGGCATTTCAGGATTGGGAGTTGGATGATGCCATTGGGTTTTTGGAGTTGCTATATCGCCAGGAGATGGATGGTGGAGGGCCTGATTCCCGAGTCTGGGTGCCCTCATCTGAAGAGAGGCTTGATGTTCTCTATTTCTATGGGAGCCTTTTGGATGCTGTGGGGCCTACCTTTCCCATGCAAAGGCTCCCCTTATGGTGGGAGGACGTCATGGGATGTGAGCTTCTCGAGACATTTTCGGGATTGGGTGTTGGATGATGCCATTGGGTTTTTGGAGTAGCTATATTGCCAAGAGATGGATGTTGGAGGGCCTGACTTCCAAGTCTGGGTGCCCTCATCTCAGGAGAGGTTTGTTCGCTATTTCTATAGGAGCCTTTTAGTTTCAGATGCAATGGGGCATCTTCCCGTGCAAAGGCTCCCCTTATTGTGGCCTTTTTTACTTGGATAGCAATTCTGGGGAGGATTCTGACATTGGAAAACCTAAGGAGGAGGAGACAAATTATTGTCAATTGGTGTTGCATGTGCAAGAGAGATGAAGAATCGGAAGATCATCTCCTTTTGCATTGCCCTATGGCCCGGGACAGTTGGGGATTGCTTCTGGGTTTGTTCGGGCTCCAATCGGTTATTCCTCGATCCTCAAGAGGCATAATTGAGGCTTGGAGAGGTTGTACAGTGGGTACCTAAGCCATTGACTTTTCGAGGGTGGCACCCTTGTGTTTTTGCTGGTATTTGTGGAGGGAACAAAATAGGAGATTTTTAAATGTTGAGAAGACTCCTATTGAGCAAAAACAATTGGTATCTTCGAGGACAGTTGTATGAAATGTGCCATCTCATACATGTCCAGGTCATGTTGGCAGGTGAAAAATTGTCATTAAATCTGGTAATTTGCCAATCCAAGAGGCAGAGTTTGATCATTATTTTGAGGACATTCGAAGGCATTAGCCTGTCAACTTCCATTGACAATATGGTTTTAATTACCGCTTGTAAGTATTCATTGCATGGTTTTCTGTTCTGATTCTTTGTAATTCTGAATCCTTAGTCTACGTGTAAACTCATGGCCAACTCCCTAACCTCTATTCTTTATTAGTCGTCAACAGAATCAACACATGTTCTCATAAGAATCTCCAAGTTGAAGATTGCTAAATTAATTAGACAAAAAGTCTTAACACATTCAAACTTTTTGAAAACCATAAACCAGTTCTGCTAGCAGAAAAGAAAGAAGACACTGGAGGAAACAGCAAGCCAGACCACTGAAGCAAGGATTTGCTCAAGATTTGAAAGGAAACCTACACAAACACCTCAAAACTGTAGCAACTAGAGAAACAATTGTGAAGAGTTACACATGTTGTTGGGAAATCAAAATGAGACTTTAGTTAAGTATTGGAATATGAAATGATAGCACTGGATAAATTTACTTCCACACCCTTATCGAAACTACAATACTTGAAACAGTACTTGATAAGGAAGGCAACAATCACCAAGGTTAAAAGCCAATATAAAATAAAAAAGCAATATAACATCAATTTCTTGATAAATACTGAGTTATTCAAGGGCATTGCACTAAAAGAAGTTGTTATCTGTCAAATTTTCACCACTGCTAACCAGTGTTGGTCCCAACAATTCAGGAAGCTCAAAGGAGTGGGCTAGGTGCAAATGTAACTTCCATCTTTGTCGGCACTGTACCCTCAAACTGAATCCATGTCGCATGTTTGGACAGCTTAAACTTATACCATTGCACCAAGTAATAGCCCCTCAAACAACCAATACTTAACCATTATCTTTCAAATATACTAGTAAAAGGGTACATTTATAATTACACATAAAAACATCAGAAACACGTAGAATTGACGAGTAATGAGCAATACAACCATTGCTTTGTGCATACACTGCTGTCTAAAGTGCTCATAGGATGTTATTCCTAACAGAGACAACTGAGCACCTAGGCATGTGCAGTCATAGAGCTTGGAAAAACTCAAAAGATTAAGAAACCCAGCCCAACAATCTTCTTGCAGTTCGTGGACAGTCATCCTCAGTATGCAACATAGTAGGCCACATAGTAGCATACATTCTGCTGCTACGATATGCTAATTTTCCGTAATTTTTCATGCAACAGCGGCATACACCGTAGTAGAGGAGCAGTAGAAGTTGAAGTAGAAATGTGGCTACCATATAGATATTAACTAATTCCAAATCTAAGCTATATTCTATACCAATTAAGTTAGTCTGAAGAAGGTATAAACTCATTCAGAATCTTTAATTTAGTTCAAAGTAAGTAAAAAGTCATTGAAAGGATAGAAAATGTAGAAGAAATTATTTTCCTTGTTTACCATGGAAAATGTCGAGTAAAGGAAAATATGTAAGGAAGTTAGGGATTTATATTTAATTTAACATGCATTTCCACCCATTTTCCAGTATCTGATATTTCACTTTGTTATTTAATTTAACATGCAGTTCTACCCATTTTCCAGTATGTGTTATTTCACTTTGTTCTTTCTTATTGCCAACCAAATTTCCAATCCCATTTAAGCTTGAGAGGAAGTAAAGGAGGGGGGCGGGGGGACCTTTCCTTCCCTCTTCCTCAAGTTCCCTATTTCTGCAAAACAGACAGAGGCTTCATTTAAAATAGGTTTTCTTCAGTCCAATTATAAATTACTAGATAAAAAAGAAGTTTCATTACCAAATCATCTTGAATATATTTTTAATCGTTTGCAACATAAACTCTAGAAACTATAACATTTTTTTTATTATTATGACACATTTCTAAATTCATAAACATAATGTGTTAAACAAAAAAACTCAAAAAGACAATTCTTTGCAAATATTTTGTTCTAGCACAAGCAATCAAAATCATATATTATCAAAAGTAATACAAATTCCAAAAGCACTCAGCAAAAGGCAGTTCACAAACATATTTGGTCATCAAAAATGCCATGTAATGGCAAGTTTTTGACACTTATTATAAGAAATGCCTTGTTTCAGAGTAAATAAAATATTTATGTTAAATTATCAAAATATCACTTGCATACATCCTAAACATGTTTTTCAAAGGGCAAAAACGAAAATCACACTGAAAGACAAAATGTGCAATTTGAGAACTAATGTTACTGAATGTAAAAATTAAAAAAATAATAATAATAATAAATAAAATAAAATAAAATAAGTGACAAAGTGAAAATGAACAATGAGCATATATATATAATAACACCAACTAGCAAAAACAGAACTTTTGGGTCTGTATATATATATAGCAGAACCCTGACTGGCACACCCTTTTTTTCTATAAACTCTCCATATATGTATATAAATTTCACACACACATACATATATTATAAACAGATGATTAAATAAAATAATCACCAACCAAACAATTGCAAATCGAACCCATTAAGGATACATCAGTTATCAACAAAAAAAAAAAAGTATCTATTTTGGAAGATCTCTGAAACACCCAATTCAATTAAAAACAAAATAAAAGCAAAAATGTATGTAACAAACATAAACTAACCGAATTAGAAGAGTATGCGATCGGTAGATCGAATGGTCCGTCAAATGAAGGATCAAGAACACGGCACTAATCAATTATTGTTTGTGCCCTTTTCTTATTACTTTGCCTATCCGAAGAAAACAAGTGACCAAAGAAGAGATTGAAAATACAAAGAAAAAGGAGACAAGAAAGGCAATGAAACGAAAGTATGTTATGTATGTGTATGTTATGTGTCGACATGATTTCAGGGCACGTGCAAAGTCGGTGGATGATACGTGGCCTAAGCGCATTACTTTTATCTCTTTCTCTGCTTTCCTTTCTTTTTTAACTTCTGATCCGATTGACTATTGATGATTTTGATAAACAGAGCAAGGCGGGTTTGGCTCTTCTCCACGAAATGTGTTCAATGGTCCACCCACCAAGTTGCTTCTGTCCTGGTCCAATGTTATTTTCGTCATTTCCCATACCACTATGTGTAATGTGTGTGTAATTTTAGAGTTCATATCATATATTGCATGTGTTAATTTGATTGAAAAAATAATTAATATTTCACCAAACAGTTATATATATATATATATCAATGCTGATTTGAAGATTTGTTTGGTTGGATGGCCTTTTGAAGGAAACTAATCCGAAAATGGAAAGTTGTAACATTGATTTTAACCGTTACATTCTAAATTAAGTATTGATGGTCGCTATACCAGCAATTAAAATTAATTTAAAGAAATTGTATGGTAAATTATTTATAAATATATATATATATATATGGTATATTGTACTACAAAATTTAAATAGTAGATTTTAGAATAAAATTACAATTCATCAATACAATTCTATTTTGTTGCGCACTAAATTATACATATATTTTTTAAATTGAATAATTATGATGTTCGACATCTTAAAGCATTTTATAATATAAAGGCACATACAGTGACTCATCTTCGGTATAGAGCAATTACTAAAAACGGATTGGACTGCTGTTTCAGTGACTCCCAAGTGCCATTCTCTACCACAATCTCTACATGTAACTTCATTCTATATGTAACTAATGAAGTAGAGAATTCTAAAAGTAGATGTCTTTAATTTTGGTGTGTCCCCTACCTTTCTCTATCCTTCCAAATAAATAAAAATAGTAATAAAATAAACAGCAAAAATAGTGAACTGCACACAGAGGACATGTTTAGTGAAAAAAGGTCAAATAACCTTTCAAAAAGTGAATAGGTAATATTGCAAATGCAAATCAGGGTATTTAAAAGGCCCTTTCTCAAGCTTGTTACATAAAATGGTCCCACAAATCTTTACCCAAATGATTAGGATTGCCAAATAATAATTTTTTCCCTACTTAAAAATGTCAACTTTACATTACTTTTTCAGTTTTTCTTTTTCTTCTTCCCTTTTCCTTTCCCTTTCTCTTTCCCATTCGAGGAAAAATATATATATATTTTTTTATACATCAGCACCACTTTAAATTAACTCAAAATTGTTGTAGAAGGAAAATGATGTGTAGTTAGACAGTCTGATGGGCTTAGTCCCCACTCACACTGACCCATTCATGGTAGTCATGTTGGACTCTAAAAAATAACGTCATCATAGTCGGACATACGAGGCAAATAACTTTTAAATTAGACACTATAAATTAACTACTTTAGACTCCCATATTTATATAATATAAATGAAAAAATCTCAAAATTCCCAATATGAGATGGACTAGAGACAAAGGCATGCTTGGCTCAGTTCCAGAAAAAAATTCTCGAGTTTTTTATTCTATAAGCAGCAAAGTTCCAGAAAAAGTGAGTTGCTGCATTACTCATATCGCAGTCAAACTCATCCTCCATCAGCAAACAATTAGAATGTTTCCCCATAATAATAGGCAGAGCCAACCATTAGTGCAACAGTAGCACCTTGAACAACCACCCGAGTTCTCATTAGCTTCTATTGACCTAAATGAGCATTCCCCTACCTGATACTGATTAACCTAGCTGTGAGCACACCTGCAATGATAAGTGCGCTTGAAAATATAGAAACCCATCATTTTGTATTGGTAATGGAGAATGTAATACAAACTTTATTCAATAAACAATTTTATGTTGTGACATTTTTTGTTAATGGTGATCTCACAGATTTTAATTCATCATAAAAAGACACAGAGTCATGGTTGTGAGGTCCTCTCATACACAAACAAAACTAAATCATAAAGGTAATTTCAAATGGGATTTGGAACTTAGTCAAGATCAGTAAAACAATTTACATATTCTCTTTCATTTGGATTTCATAAAGGAGGTAAGAAATTTAGTGAAAGAAAATGAGAGATTAGGTTTGAATGGGAGGTGTAATATCACCGGTCTCCACAAAGAAAAAATGTGTTTAAACAGTGCCACCACTATAGTTACCACTTCAACTACACCACTGTATCACCACTTCCACACTTGACCTACATCCAACATGCTGTTACAAACAACCCGCAACCTCTAATACACCACTGTGTGCCCACCATCCAACTACCTCTGCCACCATCACCACCAAAACCACGCCAGTCTAACCAACAATGTTAAGCATACTTGGATTGTCTATATCGGGTGTATAATGGTATACAATCATAACTGGTCCATAAGCTTTCAGATCAAAAAACACAATGACACAACTCTGCAATAACATTGACCCTCACTTGTATACAATTGGGCATAATTAAGTTTGTTGTATATAATGCAACATGTTTAACATATTATTTCACCCGTTGACAAATGCACCGCAGGAGCAAATTTAAATGACTACAATACCATTAGCAAGTTGCATGTGTTGTTCTTTTCGACTGTCAGATACTCCCATCAAATATGCATCTTAAATAAGTGTGGTTAACATACACCCTTATCGATACTAATGCCCCATATCCATGCCACTTAGTGTCCAACATAGAACGTAACATTTTTATATTGTCAATGCTAATACCACAACCAGCAACATCACCATATCCACCCCACAAACACTATACCAACAATTGCACAACCATACGCATCCCAATATGGGAATAACCACTCTAGTCACCAAAACAAATTGATTTGCTTTCACCATTTCCACTCTCATTACTACGACCAACAACTTCACTGTTACCTCTCATGATGATTGATGTACTTCCTTAGTGTCCCCAATTTGATCATATCAAAATTTTGAAGCTCAAATTTGGGAATTAAGGTAAAATTTATCTTTATTTGGACAAAAAAGTAATGGACAAGAATTTTCCCCCGTCCACAGCGTTTACATTGTATGCCTAGATACCTGTGCAACTAGATCTATGTAATTTAGCTCCAAATCATTAATAAAAATTTTAGTTTCCTTGGCCAATAAATTCATGTTTATGATCAATTTGCACAATAATTGCCAACATTAATCAAAATAGAGTGATTTTAGTTCATTTCCACAAATGACGGGATTATGATGATGATTGAAAGAATTACAAAAAGTGAAAGTTGAAGAACAAAAAAGTAACACGAACCAGGACAAAAGAATGGAAAGATCACTGAAAAGGTTTATGAACAGCATAAACGCGTACTTCATCGCCAAGAATGAGCAAAGTTTAAAGCTTAACACACTTCAGGGCATTAACCACTTGTTAAGAAACCAATACCAAATATTTGGTTTTGGTTTCCTAACACCACTTCTTTTCAATTAAAAAATACACAACTCGTAAAGCTCATTTTTTCCTTTTTTTCTTGTGTTTTTCTAGAGCATAATTTAATGGAATGTTCGTGTTGTTATAGTTTTGAAGTAGCAAATTTATTAAATATCTTCAAAATTGGAAGAAATAAATAGAAATCCTTCAAGAAGACTCCCAACATACTAGGATTTAAATCCAACTCGAACCCCGTCATATTCAATAATTCAACCGACTACTAATCACTTTTACCAAATGGGTCTAAACAATATAGCATAAAGTATACAAACAATTCGATATAAACCTATGAATAAACATGTGTGTGTATATATATATATATTATATACGATGCATATAAGAAGTCGTGCGGGCTTGGGTTGAAAGCGAATAATATTATATCATGTGGTGAAGTGAGTTGTTACAAATAGTATCAGATCCTGACCCAGTCGGAAGTGGGGCCAACGGGGACGTTGGGCCCAAAGGAGGTGATTTTGGCGACATATGTGAGTGGGTATGAAGTATTGGCAGGCTACCACACTAGGCGAGCTATGGGTGCATAAGGCTCGTTTGGCATAGCTTTTGCTTCCGCTTTTACGCAGAAGAAAAAGAGAAACGGAAGTTATCACTTCTATTTAGCTTATTTGTTAGTGTTTGGAAACTGTATGATAGAATAGCTTTTAATCGCAGAAGAGTTATTCAGTCTGTTTGGCAAAACATTTATAGAAGCTCTTCTACTACTAAAATAATTATTTTACCCTTAGATAGAGTATTTTTAAAAATTATCGTTTAACTTGTTTTTTCGTAACTCTTTCTCTAAAGACATACAAATAAACTACTCAATATAATCAAATTCATCCACAACATGCCATATGCAACATAATAATTAATAATATTAATAATAACAAAAAACTATTTAACCATTCAGAAATTTTTGCAATTGAACATTTTGATTCTACTGAAATATAATAATAAGAATAATAAAATATTGAAGGTTTCTATTTTTTTCTTCTAAAAAGAAAATAATTAATCTCATGCTTTATGACTCTCCTAGAATAATATTGTTGTTTCCTTATAATAACAAACTTAATTATATTATTAGGAAACTTAATGAAAAAGAAGAAAAATATTGCTATGGTCAACATTAGACTTGTTTGGCAACTTTAATGTTTCAAGGAAGATCTATGTCAGTGAATTATTTTGAAATTAATCTAATAAAAAAAAATGCTATGCTGATGAATTAATGTGATAAAAAAAAATAACTTTATTTTTGGGTAAAAAACTAGAATCCATTGTTGCAACAAAAGGAAATTCAATTTGAAGGTGAAAAAAAATTAAAGATTTGTGATGGTAGGATGGAACGTTGAAATATGGTGATTATTCATATGGAAACCAGTGATTGTACGTCGAGGAGTTTCGAAAATATTCACAGAAAATAAGAAGGAAAAAAAAAAAAAGAAAAAAAAAAAAGAACATGAAGAAATAGGCAGAGAAGAAATACCAAGGTCGAATTATAGATTGTAAGATGAGAGGAGTATAGCTACCGAATTTTTCTTGCTTAGAATTTTGCAATTTAATTAGTTATTGGAACTTGAACAATAAAGAAAGAATTGCCCCCAACAATAATCTTCTTCAATTTTTTTCTTTGGTTGAATGCTTAGTGGATCATTCTTGTGAGTATGAAGGAATATGTTGCCAAAGAACACCGATGTGAGTTTTTTTAACACTAGGGTTTGGAAATAGAATCAAGGAGTTTTTTTATAGGGATATGGTTGGAATTATAATTTGTTATGAAATAATATAAAAGATACGCTTGTCATTTAAAAAGTTTCATTAATATCTTCAAAACTCTTCCCGTGTAGTATACTCTTACGTTTTGGAGAAGCTGGGGGTACCAGATTCTCTTAAACGCTTTTTTAAGCTCCAAAAGCTCTTTTTAAAAACTAACCAAACACTACCCAAAACAGCTTCCAAGTCCAAAAAGCCAAAAGTAGCGTTTGAAAAGCCAATCCAAACTGGCCCATAATCCCACATCGCCTGGGTAAGGAAAATGTGAAGTGCTTATATGTGGTGGTGTTATCTTCAATTGGTATAAGGTATTTTGGGGTAAAACCCAAGAGCAAAATCGTGCTGACCCAGGCCCACATCACCTGGGTAAGGGAAATGTAAAGTGCTTATATTTGGTGGTATTATCTGTAATTGGTATAACTCATTTTGGGGTAGAGCCCAAAAGCAAAATCGTGCGGGTAGTAGTTCAAAAGGTTATTTTTCACTTTCTTGATAGTTCTGATTTTTTTTTTTTTTTTTTGGCATAATAGTCATTCAAAAAGGTAATTAGGGCATTACTTGAAAATACACCGGCGCCGTGAATCAACAAACACCAAAAAAATGTAGTCTGGTGATCGAAGGAGTCCTTTTGCAACGTTTTGTAAAAATAAAGGGAAGATTTGCAACTCGAGATACTCCATGAGTTATTTTTCACTTTGTGATAGTAGAAGGGTTTTTTTTGGCACTTTTACCATTTTTTTCTTTATTTCCCGCTTTACTTATTTACATTTTCTCAACAGTTCCTTTGAAAATAAACTTTTTTTTATTTTTATTTTTATTTTTTTCAAAAAGAAAAGAAAATTTTTAAACTCTTTTTTAAATAATAACTTTTATCGAATTTTCAACCAAACTATATTTGTTTTGGATAAATTTTCTCATCAAGACATTGCATTATAAAAATTATTTTCAACATCATCCATTGAATTCCGACTTTTCTAACAAAATGATCCAGTAAAATTGAGATCATACATATAACACAGAGAATTATATATGTTCAATGATAAATTATAAGGTGTTTCAACATTATAATTATTGATAAAAAATATACATATAAAAATAAAAAATTTTGGAATTGTGTTTATAAAATATCTCAAAGGTATATTAAGATGAAAAATCACAAATAAAAAATGATTATGGAGGTATTTAAGAGACTCAATGATAATGGATTATGTCATTGAGGTATTTAAAGAAAAAAGAAAAAATGATCAATTTATTAAAAAAAAAAAAGAAAAGAAAAAGAAAAGAAAAAAGGGTCAAAATCGCGCACGACGTCGTTTGGTCCCATTTCCACCACGCGACTTCATATAAATACTGCTCTCGAAGATCTTGGCGGCAAGAAAAACCGAAGAAGAAGGAGCGTGCCCAGTGGTCAACAAGAAGACATGGGTGTTCACGGCCTCTGGGAACTCCTCGCCCCCGTCGGCCGTCGCGTCTCCGTCGAAACCCTAGCCGGCAAGAAACTCGCAATTGGTACTCTCTTTCTTCGAACCCTAACCCTAACTCTAACTCTAACCCTAGTTCACTAAATATTTTCAGCTCATCTTGTAATTATACAATATTGTTTTGCAGATGCGAGCATATGGATGATTCAGTTTATGAAGGCGATGCGAGACGAAAAAGGAGAGATGGTGAGGAACGCTCACATCTTGGGCTTCTTTCGCCGAATCTGCAAGCTACTCTTTCTCCGCACCAAGCCCGTATTTGTCTTTGACGGTGGCACGCCAGCTCTCAAGCGCCGAACCGTCGTCGCGCGTCGCCGGCAGCGAGAGAATGCACAGACCAAGATTCGTAAAACTGCCGAGAAATTGCTCCTCAACCACGTAAGTTTCTTCAAATTTATATCTTTGTGATATATTGTTATGTTATTGGATCAATTCAGTAGAATAATTATTAATTTCTCTGGGTTTTGGTAGTAAAATTGGTTCTCGCAATCTACATTTATTTGCTGAATTCAAGTCGAAAACATTGTAATATAAGCTAATCCATGGTGGGGAGTGTGTAAGTTTGTTATCACTTTCGTTAATGAGGATTTTTTATTTTATTTTTCAATATTTTTTATTCTTTTTGGGGAGAAGTTATAGCAAATACACACACCCATTATCCACAACATGTCTCTAGTGGGACGAACTCTAAATCTCCCCCTTTGGGGAGGAGAGATCATACCATTGGGTTAGAGGTCCTTAATTATTGATGCCAGTGATGTACTTTAGTTTACAACGACACTAGAAAACATATATATATTTTAAAGCAGAATCCACCACAGCTGTTTGGCCTAGTTTAGCTAGCCTTTCACATACTTGGACACAAACCAACTAAAAAAATGCAACCCATGAGAAATCAAATTTATTTTCTTTTGATTAATATTATCAGTAATCAATTGTTACTTCACTATCTAGTTACTTCCATTTTATGTGAAATTCAGCTATTTTTTTTAGTTTTTAGTTGGTAATTATGGTTCTTAATATTTATTTTATGTTTGGTTTTTGGTAAAATAGCTCAAGGCAATGAGGTTGAAAGAACTGGCCGATGATCTTGAGAAACAGAGACGGGAAAATGATGCCAAGGGTAAAAAAGTCATTATGGATCAGTCAGACATAGGGGGGAATAATTTGGAAGGAAATGCCAAGGATAAAAAGGTAATTATGGATCAGTCAGACATGGGGGGAAATAATTTGGAAGGAAACGATTCTGCATTGGGAAGTTACAACCAGGAAGCTCTAGATGAAATGTAAGCTTCACACCACTTTGTATTCTTTATATACAAGCAAGACGTGGAAGATGCTGATGTTTTATATGAGTTGATTAAGGTTGGCAGCGTCCCTAGCAGCGGAGGAAGACGGGAGCTTTCCTGCCAGTGCATCAACCTCTTGGGCAGGGATACCTGCTGAAGAAGAGGATGATGGTGAAGATGAAGAGATGATACTTGTAAGTATCATTTATGTGATATGAGTTTGTCGTTATCTCATCTTCTCTTTTGCAAGCTCTTCAATCTTGCATGTCATGGTATTGGGGTTCTTCGATCCATTTCTCTTAACGGATTGTTCAATTATCATAATATTTGAACACGGAAAGCTGGTAAAATACGATAACACCAATATATTTTGAAATTCAAATCATAGGACTGCTCACCACACAATTTTTTAGTGATCATGATACATAGATGACTGACTTACTCAAGAGAAAAGAATATGTATGTGAATAATGCTTCATTGTGGCATCACGGTGTCTTAACTAAGGTCCTTCGTTTTGAGGAAAACCTCTCTCTATCTCTTTTTTTGTCTCTCTCTATCTGTGGGAAGGGGTGTGCCACCCTAGCCCTTGGTCTTGAGTGCTTGTGAAGTATCTGTCCTGAAAAATAGAAACATTGCATATCTTGTGGTGTATGATAGTTGAAAGTGGAGGAGCCATCTCATCAGCAGGATTGGTTGGAATTTTATGAGAATTACTTGCCTGGTTAGTAGAATTCAACGGTTTTGTGGTTTTCGAGATTGTCCTTCTCTCCTGACTTTTTGCCCCATTATCTTATTTTATGTATATTATTCTGTATAAATCTCATTTATAATTCCAATATATTATCTTATTTTGTTTATAAATTTCATTCCTAATTCAAATTATAATTCCATGGTTTTTGATACTTGTTACTTTTTATTGCTTAGCTGATCATAAGGAAGGGCTTTTATGGAACTATTTGTGTAATTGTCAGATAATATCCTCTTCATTATCTATTGTTCTTTTTCTCTCCCACTTTAGCTCTGATTCTATCACTAGCATGTAACTTCTTAATAATATTTGCAGAAAAAGGAATATCACTGAAATTTTTTTGGTGGTACAAAGAATGTGTTTGGATATGTGCACTGAAGATTTTTGGGTCAAGCACTAGAAAAGGCCAGCACTTTCAAATAAAGCGAAATAAGCACATTGACTTGGCATTACTGTAGGAAATAGACGTATTTGATGCAATAATTTCAAAAGAAAAAAATGTTTAGGCCTATATTGGTGCCTGTGTGGTATTTGAACATGTGCGATATGCCCTGAATATTCATGTTTCCATTTTATTTTATCCTCCAATTAAATATACGAACATTTTGTCTCATAATCCCAACATAATTTGAAGAACTCAGTAATATGCATTAAAGAATGGAACCTGTCTGAATTGTTTCAATTTCCTTACTAGTTCATTCCAGTTGAATTTTCTTAATTGCTTTTGCAGCCAACAATGCATGGAAAAGTTGATCCTGCTGTGTTAGCCGCTTTACCTCCATCCATGCAACTCGATCTTCTTGGTCAGGTAAACATGCTTACATTCATTTTGGGTTTTAACAAGCTCAAATCCATGTCAGGGCTCTCTTCAAACACGCACTTTATTGTTTTTCTCATATGTGCTATGAATCTCTTCTGTAGATGAGAGAGAGGTTGATGGCGGAGAACAGACAGAAGTATCAGAAAGTCAAGCAGGTTGGAATTGAACATCTTAATTTAAATAGTGACTGAAGTAGAATTCGTTGTTCAGTGATATTTTTCTCAGGATTCCTTTGGTTCTTTTCCTTAATTATTTGTCACAAGCTACTTCAAAAAAAAAAATGTCACAAGTATGTCATTGGTGCATGCATAATGGTTTATGTTAAAGTGAATTATGTGCTAGATTACATTCCTGACATGGCATGCTACACTAACCAGTAGATGTTTGCTATGTTCAACTAATTTGTATGATAAAAAGTCTGAATAATACTGTAGTAACTGATATTACAGTATCAAGGTTTGTCATCATGGATCAGCACTATAAGAGTTCTTTTCATGTGCACACAGAGTAAAAAGGAAAATTCTTGTTCCAGATCCAGTAACAAAGAATGATGAGAAGGAAACAGTGAATTAGCAGGAAGGCTATAAAAAGGAACCTTATTAAGAGTGATGTTAAGAGCAGAAAAGGATTAAATGTCCTCCCATAAAATGATGGGGAGGAAAAGAACAGGAAACAAAGAAGTTGTTGACTTTAACGTTTTTTTTTTTTTTTAAATGTTATGGTCCTATGGATGCTATTAAGTATTTGATTTCTGAGAACAAAGGATAAAAAAAGAACAAAAAAATTGTAATTTCAGAAAATTATATGCTTTATGTTGTTAGAAGTATGGATGGAATGAAACACAAGGACTTCAGAGAATTAAAAACTTCCAATTGCATGCTGGAAGATGTTCTGAATGCTATTAAGTATTTGATTTGTGTCAAGGAAAAGAAAAAGAAAAAAGAAAAATATTGTAATTTCAGAAAATTATATGCTTAGATGTTATGTATGGCGATGTAACCCGAACTCGGGTAAGTGAATCGGGTGTGGGTTTGTGCCCTAGTGTTGGACCTTCTTGAATCCCAAATCTTAGGATATGGGGATATGTGTCCAAAAGTTGATACAGGTATGTAGACACTTGTACTATGCATTATATGTCTTATTTATTATAGTGTAATGTATAAAGTTATATTATAAGAATATATTCAATTTTTACTCAATTTAAATGGGATGTGGTAAAAGAAAAGATTTCCCATGATCTATCTCGTGGATAGGAAACTCATCGCCGCTATTAAATTTGAGTTTTTCCTCAACCCCCCCCACCCGGGGTGTCAATTATGCCATGCAAATAGATGTTTGGCATGAATGTATGAGCGTAACTGTGGTAATAAATAGCCTTTCAAGAGTTAGCAAAGGAAGTGGATCGTACTTTTATTTATTTATTTAGAGATATGGTTTGTAGACTCAACGCTGGAATGGTCAAAAAGACACGGGGTTGGTGGAGAAGATGAGAGAGGTTAGGGTATGGAGTTTACCTTCTCTGTAATAGGTCCAGAAAAAAGGTCCATTTGTCATGATCACATGTAGGATATGTTATAAGGTGATGCCACATGTCTAATTCTGCCGATTCTCTCTTTCCTATTCTCTCCGATTATTAGTCCATCCAGCCAGGCATAGGAGCCAACAAGGTATGTTGATGGTATGATTAGGAGTGGCCTGGCTACGTGAATGTAAGCACTTATATGGGGTGTTCCCTGTGGCTCTGACCCTTAAGCTAGGTTTTTATCCATCTGCAAAACCACTGCCTTGTTGAAGCACTCCCAGTATGACATATCATGACTGAGATGGCTTGTTTGTCTAGGTAGTGCCCTTGTGGCAGGCTTGGTTGCCCATCATCTACACAATGCAAGTTTGAGAAGGTTCGCAGTGCGGATAAATACAGACACTTCCAGTTTCATTCATCTTTATTTGTTGCTATCTTTTACTTGTATGAAATTTATTTTCCTCAATAGTTGCCTGTTGTATCACCTGCTCCAGTATTAATACAGTTTTGAGTATCTAATAACGTATCCAGTGTAGTGTATATATTTTGAATTTGTGCAAAGACATTTTTGAGGAGCTTGTGGTAATTGTAGGACTTATATGTTGCTGATTAGTAATAGACTGCATCTTTTCTCTGTGTGGCTTTTACTGCATTGTTGCCCAATCTTATCTTTTGGAGTGGAAGATAGAGGTGCATCTACTTACAGACTTAGTAATCGGTTTGTTTTGTGCACAACTAGGCCCCTGCAAAATTTTCAGAACTGCAAATACAGTCCTATCTTAAAACTGTTGCATTCCGTCGGGAGATAGATGAAGTGCAGAAATCTGCTGCTGGTAGGGGAGTAGGTGGTGTACAGACTTCGCGGATAGCTTCTGAATCCAACAGAGAATTTATTTTTTCATCATCTTTTACTGGGGATAAACAGTGAGTAAAGATATCTTCTGTCTTCTTTAAAATGCTTGTGTTAAACACATGCATAATGTTCATGCTTTTCTCATAGAATTTTCACCATCTCTCATTTTTGTTCTTGTAATGCTTAAAATTATTAGGGTGCTTACATCTGCTGGAGTAGAGAGTAGTAGTGATAAGCAACATCAGACTCCAACAGGCAATCATTCTTCAGATTCTCGGGACAGAGTTGCATCTACTAACAAGTCCAATGCTGCAACTGGGCCCGTTGTGGATGAACCTAGAAGGGAATTTGATGATGGTGTGGAGACTTATTTGGATGAGAGTGGTCGCCTTCGAGTCAGTAGAGTGAGAGCTATGGGAATTCGCATGACCCGAGATTTGCAGAGGAATTTGGATTTAATAAAAGAGGTCGAGCAGGAGAAAATGAGTGCTAATAAGATTGTAAATGATGAGCTTATCCGCAATAAAAATAATTCTGGTGCCCCAAGAAGATTTCCCAGTAAAATACAGTTTGTAGAAACTTCAAATCACGGCAACGATGGAAATGTTTGCTTAAATGACAGAAACGAAGGGTCCATGTCTAAAACGAGAACTTCTATAGAGATATCATTTGAAGATGCTAGTGAGCACAAATCTTCAGATGGTGATGACGATTTATTTGCTCGTTTAGTGGCTGGAGATCATATTTCTCTTGCTGGAGATACTTCCTCAAAGAAACTATCTAATGACTCTGCTTCAGATTGTGACTGGGAGGAAGGAGTCGCTGGAGAGAGAGATAATAATTTCACTCTTGATCTTAAAGTGGAAAATAACCTAGCTCTTGCAGAAGAAGGCATTAATGATGAGAGTGAAGTTGAATGGGAAGAAGGACTTTCTGATGTTCCTAAACGCGCTACCCCTGGTCCAGCTGAAAATACAGAAACTGTCTCAAAAGGTGTTTTGGAAGAAGAAGCTGATTTCCAGGAAGCAATTAGGAGAAGTCTTGACGATTTAAATGGTCAAAAATCTATTGATGTCTCATCCGAAGACGATAAATTTCAAGGAGCTAGAGAAATGACTAATGAGGGCACAAGTAATATGCCCCTTTATAAAGAAAATGATAGGGGTGAGGCAACTATTGCTTTGCAGAATGCTGTGCAACCAAATGAATCATCTTGTGAAATTGTGGCTGGAGTTGAAGGGCCGGGTATTGTTGGTGAAATTAATACATTGAAGACCAATAATTTTTCAGGGAGGCAGTTGGCACTATCAATTGCTGTTAATCCTGATAATGTGGATGTAGTGATAGATAAACCATTGGAAAGGTACTTGGATTCCCACCCTGAACGTTTAAGGCAAGATGCATGTGCAAGTGGAAATTTGCTTAGAGAAATGGGACCTATGAAATCAGTTACTCCTATTAAAGAGAAAGGGGTCCACTTGGTTGCTGAGCAACTCTTGGATACTTCTATTTCTGATTCTGTATTGGTTGACGTGCCTGATATAGTTCTTGCTGATGTTAAACAAAATGATTTGGAAGCTGCACGGCATGACCAGTCAAATGAGATGACAGAACGAGGAAAATCTTCTGTTAAGGAATCAAGAGCTGACATTGATGCTGTGCAAAAATTGGCGGAGAACCAAAGTCATGGTGCTTTTTACAAGAAAAATGATGACAGCATTGACATATCTGCATTTAAGGACAACAAGGAGCAGGTTGATGTTACAGAGGCTAGTTTGGAGGAAGAAATGCTGATTTTAGGTAAAGAACGTGTAGATCTAGCGGAGGAACAGAGGAAACTTGAACGTAATATGGACTCTGTTAGCAGTGAAATGTTTGCAGAATGCCAGGTAAGCTTTTGAATTTCGTGTTGCATTGTTGAAAGACACTTTGCAATGAGAAGAGGAAAGAAGAGAAGGATCTATGCAATCACACCTTAGGAATAAAACTTTAAAAATTAGAACTTCTCAATAGTATTCACTAACATAAAGAAGCATTAACGACCATTTTCATAGACTAAAAGATCCATTTGAAATAAGGTAAAATAAACTAAAGCACCCCCAAAGAAAATGAAAACAACATTATATCTATTACATGGAATCTCCTGTTTTCCTTCATGTACCATGTTGACAAGACACAACACAGGTACAGGTGCAAGACGTGTCTGACACAAGAATCCAAATTGGACACCCAATCTTTCACATAGCATGATTGAAGAAGAATAGAAACCCTTTTTTTACTACATTCTATTTAATTTGAGTAATAATTGAGTTTATTCTTTTTGAACAACATTAAATATTCATTATAATAAGACATTTAATGTTTTTTAAATGTGTTGTATGTGTCTTATGTACACGTGTAACTTTTGGACACATCTCCATATCCTAAGATTTGAGATTGGAGGAGGACCGACACTTGGAGACACAAGTACCAAATACATACCCATAGCATAGCACCAAACTAGTTCATTGCTATGGCAGCCTGCAAGAAAATAGCAATAAGCTACAGTTTTGTGAGCAGATAACTGGTACACAACATTAAAGACTTGGTATACTAATTTATGTGGTAAAGACGTTGAAATTATACAAAATTTAAATCATTCTGGAGTGAAAAATCTTCTTAAAGCTTGAGACCTGAGGCCATTTTGAGGCCTTCTATAGAAGGTATGCATGACCAAACCTTGCCCATGGTTAGGGTTTATAATTTGGATTTTCACAATCATATTGAGGTTCAAAGTTTTTGGAGATATTAATGTATATATTGAGATCAAAGTTGAGGTTGAAAAATTGATTGAGTTTTCAGATAATATCAGTATTTTGCTGAAGATATTGATATGGAAAATAGATTCCGAAAAAATCAAGTCCTAGCATCATGATAAATAATTTCAAAAAATTGTCAATATATAAGTATTTAACCTTGAAAAGTTTTCTTGCATTTCAATTTTTTAAGCAAAAAGTATCAAGGTCAGACTATAGGTAGCTTCCCTCAGAATATCATCATCGTCATCATTGCCTTTATATCATATGGATTGAGTTGGCCATATGAGTTCTCTTTTTTCATTCTTTTCTATTATAAAGCATATCTCCTATTATATTTAATTTCTTTAAATCAACTTTAATGACTTCATCCACATGAGTTTTGGTCGGCCTCTTTGTCTTCTACGTTCTATGCAAATAAATCTACCTTTTCTTACTGCATTCACTGGTTAACCATACCACCTAAGTTTACTTTTTCCTATTTTATCAGTAACAGGCATAACTCCTAGTTTCCCCTTCACATGTTTTATTATTTCCTATATTTTCTAGTCACTCGTATCATCCATCTTAACATTTTCATTTTAGCTACATCAATGCATTGTTCTCATCTCTTTTTTAACGCTCAACATTCCGCTTCATATAATATGGTTGGCTTAATAACGATATTATGAAAGTTTCCTTTTATGGTATTCATTTGTCACATAGGTTGTCTCCACTTTGTCCTCCCTGCTCTAATCCTATTTATTACATTATCATCTATCTCTCCTCCTTGTATTATGGACCCTTAATATCGATGACCTTTTGGTCTTGAATTTTGATAGTTATATTGTGCCTTGACTAATTTATTACACACGTCATGTATTCTGTTTTAGTCTTATTAATTTTTAGGCCTTTTGCTGCGAAGGCGTTTTTCCATGTTTATTGCTAAGACTTCCTTCAAAGTGTGCAATAAAACTATGTCATTAGCAAGTAACATGCAGCATGGAATATTTTCTTGGATTTTTTTCGTTATTTCATCTAAAACTATTGAAGGTAAATATGGACTTGACACCAAGTCTTAGGGTTAATCTTACTTTTATTGAGAACCTTCGTTATTTCATCCAAAACTATCGTAACTAGATATGAACTTGACACTAAGGTGCTTTTTGATAACTCAATTCTATGCTTAATTTTGAACGGATTAAGCGCTTATCCAATTTTTTTAGTTTGATAACGCAATTTGAATATTACTGGACACAGTAAGCGCCACTTAAAATGTGGTAAAATTTTAAGTGACGGGGACATGACTTATCACTAAATGCGGAATGCTGAAAATTTTAAAAGCTATCAAAAGATATTTTTTTCATTAATGGTACTTAAAAAATTTCAGTACTTAATTTTTAGTTTTATCAAACAGCACCTAAGCCTTGGTCATGTTGGACATATCAATGAGCGTTGTGGTTGTCACATTTACCCTTAAACACATAGGAATGTATCAGAATTTTTTAAGGTGGTTAGTTTTGTTTAACCGAGTGTACTACATGTTCCAGCACTTGTGTGGTAATCTTTCTGTTTTCTTTTATATTTCTTTTCTTTAAGAAATTTTAGTACTACATCTGTTTATAATATAGTTGTCTTTTGTGGATATATTTAGTTTACCAGAAAAGAAGAAAAAGTCTAATTTAGAGGAACTGGATATATGTTATTGGTACTAGGAGCTGCTTCAAATGTTTGGCTTACCGTATATTATTTCACCGATGGAAGCTGAAGCTCAATGTGCATATATGGAACTTGCAAACCTTGTTGATGGCGTGGTTACTGATGATTCTGATGCATTCTTATTTGGGGCACGGAGTGTTTACAAGAATATATTTGATGACCGCAAATATGTTGAAACATACTTTATGAAGGTTTGTATGTGGCATAGTAATTTTTGCTCTCTTCTTTAATTCCATAACAGAGGCATTAAATTGCTGCAAGTGGATAGGATCTTTTTCTTTACATGTTGTTTTCCAGTTCTTTGGAATTACTTTTCTGGCATATGCTTTGATCTTTTCAAGAGATGATTTTTTCCATTTCTTTCTTTCGGGGGATGTAGAAGGTGATGCAGCTTATTTAATTTCCATCTAATTCTTTGTCAGGACATTGAGAATGAGCTTGGGTTAACCCGAGAAAAATTAATCCATATGGCACTTCTTCTTGGGAGTGATTATACTGAAGGTGTAAGGTAGGTAATAGTTGGAGGTATGGCTACTTCGATTATGAATAATTATATTTGTCATGTTCTGTTGAAATCCAATTCGTTTTTCTTCCCTATATAAATTCTGAACATCCCCCACCCACCCACCTACACACAAAGGCTCTCTACCTAGTCTCCCTAATGCCAGTTCATTCTGCAGGTCTCCTCATTTGAGATTCATTGTACTATTAATTCCTTACCGTTGTTAATAGTGGAGGTGTAAGCCTTTTCATAAGCAGCAGCTGTAATGGTGCTAAATATATTTGTTAAGTATACTGAATGCAAGGATTTAACACGACCTTCTATGGGTTGTTTGTGGTTTAGTGGTATCGGCATTGTCAATGCTATTGAAGTTCTAAATGCATTTCCTGAGGAAGATGGCCTCCAAAAATTCCGGGAGTGGATTGAATCTCCAGATCCAACCATCCTTGGAAAATTCAACATGCAAGCAGGATCAAGTTCGAGGAAGAGAGGGTCCAAAGTTAGCAACATTGACACGAGTTACCCAAATAGCAATGCAGAAGGAGATTCCACAGCTAACCATAATGCTTCGCATTCCATAGATTCGGATCAAAACACAAAGCAGATCTTCATGGATAAACATGTAATAAAGTGGTTCAACCATTATCTTTTCCTTTTCAATTTTAAATGTCCATGAAAGAATCATATGTCACTTCTTTTTCATTGTTTTTAATTTTTAAATATTTATTTACCCAGAGAAATGTGAGCAAAAACTGGCATATTCCTTCTTCTTTTCCAAGTGAAGCAGTCATTTCAGCATATGCTTCTCCACGAGTAGACAACTCAACAGAGCCTTTCTCATGGGGAAAGCCAGATCTTTTTGTTCTTCGCAAGTGAGTTTTACACAATTAACTTGTAATTTCAATTTGGGGAACATGGTAATGCATTTCTCATGGCATATTGTTTTGGCTCCTAATTGCACCTTTTCTATTCCTAGACAATTTTCTCATGCTAAAACTATATTTTATATCCTGTCATAATCTTGTTAACATGCTGGGAACTTCCTCAATTTGTTTCAGCATAAACTGTACTTAACATTCCTGGCATTCGCAAATTGTGTGCACTGACGATTTTTCCTTGCTTAAAATTTGATGTTTTGATAATAGCACTAGGTAAATAGCTGTAGAAACCGCTTCTACGTTCTACCATACTATAATTTTTCCATGTATTCGGTAGCGGTTGATTTATCCTGATCTTAAGAAAGCAAAACATAGAAATTGCCCAAACTTAGCTGAATGCAGCACTGACAAAATGGTGTTTCTTGCATGCTTTATGGAAGAAATGCAAAATGCTTGATGGTCTAATTGACTTCTTTTCATACAGATTGTGCTGGGAAAAGTTTGGTTGGGGTAGCCAGAAGGCTGATGAGCTGCTACTTCCTGTTTTGAAGGAGTACAACAAACATGAGGTTGGTCTCTCCTTCAACCCTCTGCCACCTTTAGGTAGTAAAGAATAAGGAACAACTTGATACATATGACTATTACCTTAGCAATTTTAATCTTGTTGGTCTTCACTACCTTTATAAATGCCATAATCGATACCCACTTTGATTAATTGTTGTCACTGTCAAAGTTGTCAGGTCACATGTGTTTCAGTTTTGCATCCTTACTGTTAGTGAAGCAAATATAAAAGGAAGAATGAGAGAAGAGCACTTAGCACGAATGCCTAAATTTTCATTTATTTTATTTGTGACTTTAAATTAAGTGTTTAAGCATGGGTGGGTTTTCCAAAATTTCTTAATTCGATATATGATATAGGTCCTATAAAAATTGGCATTATTTGTTTTATGATTTGAATTTACACATCCACTTTGCCCCTATGTGGACTTGAGATTTGGCTTTTTCTTTACTTTCTATGTGTTAGCATGAAAGGAAGCTGATGCTGACATCTTCTATATTTTCTTCTTGTTTTCTTGGCTTGATTGATTGAAAGACTCAACTGCGGTTGGAAGCATTTTACACTTTCAACGAGAGATTTGCAAAAATTCGTAGTAAGAGGGTTAAAAAAGCTGTTAAAGGAATAACAGGGAACAAATCCTTGGAGTTAATGGATGACTTGGTGCAAGAAGTCTCCAAGAATAGAAAGAAAAGAAGAGTAAGCCCCAGTGAATCTGGTGATGACAAATCAGGGGAACAACTTAGTGCAACAGAGAATGGTGTTGCTAGAGATGAGAGCAACACCACTGAAAAATTAACTGCAAAGCAGTCAAGAAAAAGGACCTGTGGGGATTCTGTATTATCTGAAGCAGGGATTCCAGAACCACCGATGCGGACCAAAGGCAGGCAAAAAACCAGCAAAGGGTCAACTGCAACGGGAAGAGGCAGGGGAAAAGGCAGAGGTCAGGCTGTTGGAAGAGGGAGGGGGAAGAAAAACCCTGCTTCTGAATACACTGAGACCAGCTCTAATGATGGTAACAATAGTGACTGTGAGCAGGAACTGCAAGTTGAAAAGTTAGAGGGCTCACATGAAATACGAAGGGTAAGTTTTGCTGTTCTCCATCACTCCCTTCATAATTTAATCTCTGAGGGGATGTTACTGCTATGAAATTTGTAGAGTAATCAGTATTTATATTTTTTCTCTTACTTAAAAAAGGAAAAAAAATAGTGTAATATAAGCTGCAAGATACTCATAATTGGTACTTTCAAGTTATTGTTGGTTTTATTTTGCTATTTCTGTTAGGAAGTTGGGAATAGAACTGAAGAACAATGCTCACAAGAACAAAGGTGATTAGGTTCGGATTGGTGCTTTGCTTACTTAATCCAACCGAATTACCAAACATTATTTTTTTAAACCTGGCAAATGACTAAAACAAACAATTAACCAACCATATTCGACTGCTGCTTCAAGCAGCCATGAAGGAAAGATACAATCAAAATAGAAACCCTCTTTCCTATCCAAAACCATCTTACCCAGCAAGTCAGCTACCGTGTTTGCACACCTCAGGATCCATGTGACTGAAAAACCTCCATGATCGTGTAGAAACTTTCTCACATCGTCCATAATCACCGCAACTGATTCCACATATGAGTTAGTTTCATAATGGCCAAACAATCCCCCTCTACCATGACTGACAAAAGTCCCCGGTTTTTTAACCGAACTACCAGTGTTAGGGTAGTATCTTTTTCAAAGAGAGGAAAGTATTCCATCGTTTTTCACATTTGAACTGGGTAGGCGGCCTCTTATATGAACTCCTTGTTTCTAAGTTTGGGTTGCCGGATCTTACCAAAATATAAAAGTAAATATCTTGGTTGGAATATGAAAGATGTTCAAACTGGCTTGAGCTCTCCTTGTGTCGCTTGTTTTAGTTCTATTTGGAAATCTGATTTAAGCGTTGTTGGTGGGTTCACAAACATGAACAACCAATTTAACCTGCTGAGTTTCTCCTGTTGTGATAATTATCTTATTTAAGAATTGTTGTCAGAAGTATAACTGATTGTGTGATTAATGTCATCTTATCCTGCAGTTGTGTAGGATCTATCCTTGTTGGGACTTTAAAATGGTGGGGCATTCACACTATGCAAATTGTGTGCTTTTGTGGTTTCTGTATGTTCAACTTGGAGTCTGTCATTATACATGTCACACATGCAAATATACCTGTATAAACTTCTTATTTGGAGAAAACAACATATATTGATCTACTCTTAGTGCTCTCCCCTGATTCTTGAATTTTATTTTCCTCATTTATTTGGTTCACCAACTTCTCTCTTCTATAATTTTTCCAGTCAACACGGGTTCACAAGGTTGTGAAATACATTCCGGATGATTTAGAAATTGATGATCTGGGTAAATCAGACCAAAACGATGAAAATTGTTCTGATGAAGAGGTAGTGCAAGATGAGCCTTTTAGGGATCAAGACTTAGTTGGAGATGCTGCTGCTAGTTCCAGTGGAAAGAACCAACATAAAGTTGGAGATTCTTCACTTAAGGAGCGTTTGTGTGGGGAATACCTTGAAATGGGAAGTGAAGTTTGCATGGACGAAGCTGAACCTGAAACTGAAACAGGTCAACTAGGTTCAGGTCAAGACGGTGACCTCTCTTTCGGTGTAGAATTGTCTAAAGAATACCTTAAAATGGGCGGTGGATTTTGCTTGGATGAAGATGAGGTAGATGAGGACCCAGACATATGTGCTTCCTCCAGTGCAGCTGGGGCATCTATCATTGAGAATCCCAATCCTTCTCATCAACCTGGTTTCGTTGAAGAAGTTGATCACAATATTGGTTCGGTTCAATTGGTTTGGAGCCCAACAAAAGCTCTGGATGGTCTTCAAAATGGGAGGAAGAGAGATGCATCCGATAGTGAGAAGAATCTAGACCATTCAAACGCCTCTACTAATAACGAACATCTTAAAGAAGATACGTCACCTCAGGAATTCACTAAAGAAGATGTTTCTGGGATGACACCTGTAAGATTTTTAAGTGCCATGCCTAGCCTGAGAAGGAAGAGGAGAAAAAGTTGAAATTGTTCAATTTTCGGAAAAACTTTTGGAGCTAGTTGAGATGTGTGTGCATTTGCTTTCAGTGTTCCTTTCACCCTACCACCAACCAAAATTTTGGGCAATGCCATTATGGTACAGGTAAGAATGTATTTATAAACAAAACCAAGATTGCTAATCTCTAGTTTGAGAAATATCACAATAGTTGTAAACTGCATCTAGTACATAACAGAAGTACTTCTGAGGAAACAGCATAAATATTTGAAATTGTTCACAGTATTGAATACCCCAGTATTATTAAGTGAAGATCGGATGGTTGAAATTTGAAATTACCACAATTGGTGGGGGTTGCCTGATGTATTCATCTTAACTATTGGATCACGCATTTACTTGGGGACTGAAGTTGTGATATGAATGTCATGCTAGTACAAGTATTGTACAAATTGAACGATTTGTTTTTCTTTTTGCAAGTTGTGGAAACACAGAGTTAGTACGTGAGGCCAATTAGAAGTAAAATAGTTTTTTAGGGTTCGTTATTGTCAGATAACAGAGTTTATTAGTTTGTGGAGGTATCTATTGATGTTGTTTTTGATTGTTTTTTTGGGGAAGGGGTTATATGCAACATTCCGTATCTGCAGCAATAGTAACAGTTGAGTGCAGAGAGTGGAGTTTGGCATATATGGTTGGTTTTACTGGTCTCAAGTAGAGTTCTCCGATTCTTTCTTGAATAGGCCATGAACATTCCTATAATTATTCAATCAAATGCAGGTACGTGATTTATTTTATTTTATTTAAGGGGTTTGATTAAAGTAGTTAGTTGGATTAAGCTTCATACTGAAAATCAGTGAAGTTTGTTTTTATAAATTTGTTGTTATTAAACTATAGATTATAATAACTTTTCATTAAAGGAATTACTTTTCTTGTGTTTGTGTATATATATATATATGTATATATATATCTATTTACCCTATAAAAGTGTATTTTATTTGTATTTTTTATATACACTTTTTGGTAATGATGTATATGCGTCGTTTCGATTTTTAAAACACAGTTTTCTCACATTACTTAAGACACCGTCAGTTTTATTTTTAGAATTTTTAAAAAACAAAAACCCCTATTTCTTCTACAAGGTTTGAAATCCAACATCACTTTTTTTTTATACATTGTCTTCTACACTCGGTGTTCATTTTTTAATTTTTTTAAAAAAATTGTATAAGGGTCGGATTGACAGTTTTTACTCTCTTTTCTGGACACCCAATTGAAAATTATATCAACCTAACAAAGCAATAAGTTTTTTTTAAGGTTCTATATGTAGCGCTGTCTATCTAACAAATAATTGTATTGGCATATTTAAAGTCCACAAAATGTCCAAAAAGTCGATCTCTATTTTGCGAGACTTCTTAATTAACAAGAATTCTTCTTGGACTTGATGTTAATTGAAAACTATATTTATTCTGATGAGTCATGTAATATTTATTCAAAGAGTTGACTCTCACTCAGAATACTCTTAAATATTTATATAACCTTTTCTTTTTTAAACGCATCTCTCCACTTCCAACTGTATTATTTAGTTTTCTCTCTTCTTAACTCTAAGCTAAAAAATTTTAAAATTTTATCTTCTAATGACAAATCATGAAATTTTTTTATTTATTTTTGTAAAATAGTTATCCTTTTCTAATTATTTAATTTAAAATTAAAAAAAAAATGTTCCTAACTGTTGCAACTTGTACCCAACAATGCGCCCTTTGGAAAGAGACTATGTGCTCATTTGTCGGTTGCCAAGAAGTTTGTGTTCTTTAAAAAATTGTAAATGGTAATATAATTATTTAGAAAAAATGAAAATATTAAAGATAAATAAATATATTTATATTATACAGTCAGTTTTACTTTTAGAATTTTTAAAAAACAAAACAGTTTCCCTTTACACTTTTTGGTAATAATAATAATATATATTGAAAGTATATGTTGCTTTCAGTTACCCAGTTTTCTCATTACATACGTGCTTAAGACGATGTTAGTTTTATTTTAAGAATATTTTAAAAAACAAAATAATTTTCCTTTTTGTTTCTCTTCTTTTTTTTGAAAAATAAATAAATACTTTATGTTTTCCCATAGTTTCGAAACAATAGCAATCAAACCGACACGTCTTCTTTCATATCTACTCGATTGTTGGTGTCTGAAGAACATTATATAGTCCGCAGATTGGATCTTGCCTCTCTCATTCTACCTCTCTCGCTTTTTCTACCCATCTTTCTTTCAACATTTATTATCTAACTCTATTTCAAAGCATACCCAGAAAGTCAATATTCTTTGTTGAAGCGCATAACTCAAGGCCTATTTTGGCTAAAGGTATGTTTCAATATGTATTTTGTGTTATTTATATTTTTGTTTTTGAGGAAACAATGTTTGAAAAAGGTTTTCCTATTATGTTTCTTAATTATCTGAAGTTTGTTGCCCATAATCCAAATTCATTATGGTGTTCTCATTCTCTTGTTGTGCTAATATGCTTATTGTTTAATATATGTGTGTGTATATATATACTATACTATCTGAAGAATACAGATCATGAATTCCCTAACATGTTCCCTATCATGTATGCCCTCGGTTAAGAGTTTTACTTTTATATATATATATTATCGCTTGAACAAGAATGAGAGACAAATTTCCTTTTTTTTCAAAAAAAAAAAAAAAAAAAAAAAAAAAAACAACCGTTAGTTTTAAAGTACAATTGATTCCTTGTTCATTTCTAAACCTTGAGGTAGATTATACTATAAAATACAATTGATTTAATTTAAAATCATTTTAATATATATGACTTTTCATTAGAGTTGTCTTAAAGAGTTGTTGAACACTTTTTTCCTTTTCTTTTCTTTTTTATTTTATTTTATTGTACACTATAGTTTTATATATTTAATTTAAAACCCAGAGATGTTGGACATAAAATTTTCCTTTTAAAAGAAAAATAACTTTTTTTTTTAGTTAGTTCATTGTTCCTTTCTAAACCTTCATGTCATCAGATGAACTCTCTTTCTTCTTTCTTAAAACCATTTCTATATTCCTCTAAAATCTAAATAAAGTCTAATAAGATGCACTTGGAATCGTTGTTATAATCAAAAGGTAAAAAATGTATAAAAAATCAACATTAATTATTCATATTACTGATTTGTAATTTACTTATCAAAATATATATATATATATATATATATTATAGATTTCTTATTTAATTTTTTTTTTTTTTAAGTATTATTGATTTCTTGTTACTATATATATTTGTGTGCTTATAGGAAGCATTCACTTTTCTTGATATATAAAATATAAATAACTTAAAAAAAAACCTAAATGTTAATCAATTTAGTAGATGTTGCTAGCCTGGTGAGTGATACTGTAATACTATCATTATTTTTTTATTTTTTTATTTTTTTATTTTTTTTCAAGGGCAAGAAACTGTAATACTATCATGATGTATCGTGATTGTTTTTTTTCACCGACACTTTTTATTTCTCTATTTTCTTTTGTCACTCTTTTACAAAAATAGCCATTTATTTTTATTCTTAAAAAGTATCATATCTCATTTCAATCAACAAAATCCTTTATTCCTGATTTTTTTATTTTGTGGGTCATTTAATACACCACTTAAGTGATACAAATTTATACCTATTTTTATTTCTGAGAGTTCTGATTCCATTTTCTTAATTTCAACTTATCATTTTCTTTTCCATATCATTAATGATTAACTTTGGCATTTTTTTCCTAGAATTTTCGTCAATTATCTTAAATTACTTTATACTTACTTATTATGTGAAACAATTCAATTGAATTACTTTATGCTTACTGATTATGTGAAACAATTCAATGAGACATGAAAGTTTCGTAAATCTCATTATATGCATGAACCTTAAATCTATCATTTTTTTAAATACTAACCTAATTATGTTTATATCATTGACGTATGCAAGTCGAACAAAATACAATGCTAATTTCAAATAAAAGGGGACAAAATTTACAAGTGAATTTATACTTTACAATTTAGTTTTATATCTCGCTTTTAATTAGTAAAAATTCTTCTATTATGTTGACTTATGTGTAAATTTTTTTTTGTGCATTAAATATTAATTAAAGCATTTATTAGGGTCTTGAATAATTTATTTTCCCTTAAAAAATATATCATCATCATTGTATGGTCTTTATAAATTAAATGCGCTATCCGGAGCAATTGCTCTTTACGCCTTCTCCTGATAAGCCAGAGAAGCAAGGAGTCACAAATCACTCTCTAGAACTGAACTTTACAAGCTCTATTTCTCTAAGAACATCAGTAGGTTCTTCAGAGCTTACTTGTAGTCATCATCCCTTATCAATGAATATGAATAAGTCTGCTCATATGGTTTTTTAATAGTGTAAGTAGTAAGCTGTGGCTTTTCCCTCTTTATGGAAATCTCTCATATTTTTTTTCACATTATCATATTTATGATCTTTTTCATATGATTTTCAACCAAATCAAACCATACAAGAAGGGTCAGCTTTATGTTGACTCGATATATGGCCGAGATCCCATGGTTCCCTTTTTGGAGTGCCTCTGTCAATTCCATCATGGATGAGGTTCAATCTATAAGCAGCCTACATAGTTCAATTAGACATGCACGTAGATTTTTTATGAAAACACAAGCTTAATATATTTTATATTTACTACCATTAGATGTAACAAGATCATCTTTTCCATCCTATCTTGTGCTGCTCTCTATAAAGCACAGCTTGTGCTTCCCTTTACTCGCAACTGAGCTAACATTGGTATCATGCTATAAAGCACAGCTTGTGCTTCCCTTTACTCGCAACTGAGCTAACATTGGTATCATGCCAAAAAGTAAACTGTAATTGTAATGGGGATTCAAAATTATCTCCTCTCAATTCCGGAATACCTTCTCTTTCCCTTGGGACGGCCCTACTCAGCCTTGCAAGTGAGTGACAAGTAATGCAACATTTTCATGGAGAAATAACATTTCTTTGTGAATCAAATTTCTCAAACCTCTAATTTTTTGGAAGGGTATAAAACTTCAAATTCATCTTTTTTTCGACTGGATCTTTTGAGTAACCAAATAGATTATTAGTGTTCAAGGTTTTGTTGACACAGAGACATTATTTAATTTATTTTTCTTAATATCGTATGTGAACTGGGTTGCAAATTTAATTTGTTCCTGTTCTGTTTCGTTTTTTTCTTATGTTTCTTATCTTTTTGTTAAGAACCTACAATCAATAGAATCTCTAGAAAGGCCATACATTTTTTTTGAAAAAATTAATGTATAAAATTCTAATTTATGACTTTTCTCAACTCTTCTTAGCAGCAAATTAATAGAGAGTATTAGTGATCATAGTTTAGTTGACACGGATATATTTATTTTTCTTGATATTGTATGTGAACTAGGTTACAAATTTAAATCTTCAGTAACAATATTTAAAATATTTGAAACAAATCTCCACTTAAAAAGGAAACAGTCAATCTCTCGAGAACGCACTATCACCAAATTCATTATTCTAAAGTCACGTATCAATTGGTATTTCCCATAATGTTTGATTCATTTTATTTTAAAGTAAAAAATATACTATTTTTTTTATGTGGATGCGTAGAACACATATTATATTATCAGTTTAATTTGCTTGAAATTGTGTAATCCTAGACACTAAGAAACCATCACTATTTTTGAAAGATTGTATTCATTTAATAAAAAAAGGGCAGTGTGAATATGTGTATTTGAGGGGGAAAAAAAATTCCTTTTTTTTTGCATGCTTTGACAACAA